ATGAACACTATCTTTGAGGACAAAAATACCTTCAAAGATATATCTCAAATTATTTTGGACACATATAATTATCTGTCACAACACTATCCCTCAAGTTGAAAGTATACCTCCATCATGTTCAACCTAACCAAGTTAAGTTAAATCTTGTCAATGATAGTCTTTTTGTAAAAATATTTGTCACTTGATCTGATAATCTAATGTGGTTAAAAAATTAATGATGTGAAAAAGCTTTCTACAAGAGGAATGAAAACCTTACTCACTTTTCATTGATATTTATCATCCCTTAAATGAATAAAGAATCCTACATGATCTTTCTTGATATACCTTCGTACTACAAGTTCTCATAGTGGTCATCATCACAATATAAGTTTCCATACGGGATGCAATATGACCAAGAAATTCTAATTACAAATTATTGTGATGACAATCATCATTATGATGTAAATTCCCATACATGATGCATCATGATTTATAAATCTAATACATCAAATCTTATTACTCATAAGTACATGACGTGTTATGATTGTAACTACACTTTATTTATGAGTAATATAATTAGTTAACTTCGTTGATATTAAAGGTGTCATGACACCTTTTGAGAACTAGTAGTAGAACCTATAACAACTCAAGCACAAAGAAGACTAGAACTAGGTACATAGTTACACTACCAATACGAGCAAAATGTGACGGCCTTATGAGTACATATGTAAATTGGCATGTCAACACAACATGACATGACATAGTGTACACTATGTATGTGCAAGTGAGCAGCAACATGAGTGGACATGCACAATGTGTGGAGAGACACTTATGGTGTTGACGTGACTCAGTCGTTGTATATTGAATCACGCAAATATAAAATTTATAAAACTAGAAAATATAAATTTTCAGATATTTAGAAGTATTTCTAAATAAATATATCAATTATAATTCAATAAAAATTATAAAGAAAACAGTAATTCTAAGTCGATCACAAGGATGTAATATAATATATGGTAATTATTCAGAATTTCCTCAAGGAATACGATTTTCTATAAATTTTATATTAGAAAATAAAAAGGAAATATATTTAAAATTCACGAAAAAGAGAAATAAGGGCGTGGACGTCAAGATGACGTCAACACACGCCGAGCGCAAATCGGGTGAAAATAGAGTTCCACCTGGCGATTCTTACGTAAGTGATTACAGATGATTTAATTGATCAAATTAAGATCTGTAAAAGCCAAAAAAATCATAATAGAACAAAGTATATTTTGGTAAATTAAAAACACAAAAATTATCACTAAATGAAGTGTAAAGTAAATTGAAAGCAAGAAAATAGAGTTCCAACATCGCGACGGCGATGCGTCGACGATGCACTAGAATCTTGAGTGTTCGGGAGGATCGTCATGTAGTGTCCATGGCCTCGAAGTCTCTCCTTGGACAAAGACGACCTAGGCAATCTCTAGATCTTCTCGCGAAGTCTAGAGATCAATGAAATGGATCGTCAAATTGTCTCCAGTGGCTGTCACCCGACGGAGTGGAAAAACAGCGACTTTGCGGCTCTCTAACGGCTATCACCCGATAGAGAGGAGTTGGATGGAGGTGGGGCGCGTGTCAAAGAGTTTCATCCTCAGGTCCGCACAACAAGAAGAAGCTCTTCATCGCATCTAGTACGCTCTCAAGAGGTGGCGACTTGTCTCTCGATAGATCGTCTTCTTCCTGACGACGGCTTGTTCGTCGATCAATCAGAGATGATTTACTTGATAGATTCGCAATCCTTTTATCACGAATCGTTCAGCAATTTTAGAAGCAATGCTCCACGAATCACATTGACGAGATTTTTGCCGATAATCCAGTGATTCTCATTGCTTAATCCTTCACCAACGATATGTAGGAAAGTTGCGATAATCAGATAAAAATATATGAATTTTGACTCTATGAGGATTCAAACCTAAGTCGATCGCCTACCTATGAGGAAGCTGTGACGCGGGTTTAGTCCCACATCGGTTGTGTGCCAATTTTTTGGGCAAATATATAGTAATATTAGCTTTGTAAGCAAAGTCACTTCTCTCGCATGTACGACCACTCCTTGCCCCATAGCTAGCTGGCCACCGGTGACGTGGAAGGGGAGGGGCGCACACGTGCCCCTATCATTGGTCCAAGCTAAGCCGCTCGAACCCCTGCTCGTGGCTACTCCCTGACTGCGCTTCCGACCCGCTTGCGGGTCCGGCTGGCCAGCGGGTCCCCCATTTTGCAATATTTTTATTTTTATTTCTTATTTTTCATTTATCTCAAAAGTAAGACTATAAAAATCGTATAAAATCATATAGTTACCTAAAAATTCACGTTAATCAATTGAAAACAACAAATCATTATTTAACATAAATATAAGTCTATTCATCATGAGTTAAGGCTAAAATTATATTATTTACTAATTATTAACTCATGATAATGAAGACTTATCAAGTGTGAGTAGGCAATGGCACCACCAAGTAAGAGCAATGATCCATAGTATGTGATTTTAAACTTGGATGGTGTGACATGCACATAGACCATACAAGCTCACATGCCTACCCATTGGGACAAACATACACCTCTATAACACAACATGATGATTCATAATAACCTTTTCATGATAGGGTGATATGTCAAACATGTGGCATTAACACGAAGATTGCTCAACATAGTAAATAGTAACATAGGTGTGTGAAGCATAACATAAGAAACACAAGACAGAGTTGTAGAAGCAGCACAAATGAATACACAAATAGAACAATAAATGATAATTGTCGAAAAAATGAGACACCAAGTGAGAGAAGTCAAAAAGTCAAGCATCACTAGCAAGAAGACAAAGTGTTATGTGACCCCTCAAGAATGCTTTTACTCCTCATATAAAAGGGACAAATCACGACTTGGTTGAATAGTAAGATTATCTCATATTTCACGTAATCCCCTTTTGTAAAAAATTTGTGTCCCCTTTTGAGTGTGACACTCTTTTGAAATTAGTTGAGAGTCAAGGAAGATGCTCAATCCTAAGATATGAGTAGCATATTACAAGAGAGCTACTCACATGATCACTTCACAATCATAGTGCCTTTTATTTGATTACTTTCTAACATATTTATCAGAATTTCAACTTTAAGTTAGACAATTTCCCCCCCATTTACTATTCTCCCACACAAAGATGTTAATGATGGATTTAAGGATTGATTTATCCTTATATATAAGAGAATGCGCCATGAATGTAGATACTTTCAAAATCACAGCACAATAGGTTATTTTTTTATTAAAACATTAGAAGATACAAAATCTTATTGAGAAATGAATATTTGATCGAGTCCACTTATACGAGCATCATTTCCTTTTTTTGGGTGCCAAATAGATGGAAAATGGCCATTGGTCGGCACCCAAAAGTTAATTTGTAGGTATCTTTTTGGTTTTTATCTAACCACTTCATTTCTTATGCACTATTAGCTTTTGCACTTTTTTACACAAACTAGGTTAACTAACTCATTTTATGAAACAATGAAAGGTTAAAAACATAATCACTTGGTCCCAAATTTTCACAACATGTTTAAGGGTTGAAATAGAATCATATCAACATTTTTTCTGAATTTACACATACATATAATCATGAAAAATGACAACTTTACCCTAGTATCTAGTTCTTCATATCTAAATGAGATTGGCTCTCATCACAACCATTAATTAAATGACAATAGCCACTATGTTTGCCCTATCATCACATACTTGAAGCTAAACCACTTCATAAATCATTCTACACCACTTATCCCCAGATTATGTTATCAAGTGAGACACCTATTTGGTTTGTTGAAGGAATGAGTAATAGCCCAAAAGAAATTTTGAATTATAAATTGAGCTTGTTCTAATTTACTTTAGGTCCTTCTTCACTTCTTTTGATTTTCTCTTGAAGGAATCTAAAACCCTTCTACTCTAGCAAGATGTTAAAACATTAGAGATAGTTGTAAAATAACATAGGTCAAAAATTGAAAATTAGAAATAATGTGTTGCCTCGAAGATATTAGCTTAAGGAATGATTAAATCAATGTTACTAAAAGTAGTTAGTTGTCAATATTAGAAGCGTAATCAACCTTCACCTAAAAATAGCATAAAAAGAGGTCAATTAGCTATGATTTCAGTAGAAACTTATTATTGTTCCCATAATTATTACACACATGACTAGAAAAAAAGAAATCTTATCTTTTATATAAATACCAGTGATTATATAAATTTGGTATCCTAGAAGAAGGCTTCATAGATTAGATTACTAGAAGAGTCTCTGTTGTTCGGCCCAAAATCCCCACCCATCATCATTGGGCAGTAGAATTTTATTCAATTAATTAAGAGAAAATACGATAAAAGTCTTCTTTAGGGGAAAGGCCATCAGTCGAATTGATCGCCACTGAATATCAATTCTCAAGAGTAATGAGACCTACTCAACAAGCAACCCAAGCCCAATAGCAAGAATAAGCCCAGTAATAAGCACGAGCCCAATATTAGAATTTGCCCAGAATAGCAACCATAACAGCACCAAAGGTTAAGGCCCGATAACGATTATTACAGAGCCCAACAGCAGAGCAGGAATTGGCCCATCCCAATACAGAAAACAAGCCCAGTAACGAGGCCCAAAAATATTAGTAGAATGTCCCCAACAGTCTTAGCCGTTCTTTTTCCCCACAAGAATATGGAAATTCGAACTTCTTCTCGGACCCAAAAGTTCAGGAGAGGGAGTTAGAGAGAGTTAGAAAGAGAGAGAGAGAGAGAGAGAGGTGTTTTAAACGGTACCCCACTGGAGGGAAAGGCTCGGAGGCGGGAAATGAAACCGTTAACGGCCACCCGTCTATCGCGTCCCCAGTCCTCTTATAAGCAGCATCGCCGGCGCCATTGCACCTACGATCCCATCGCTCTCCTTCTCCCTCGCTCGATCTCTCCTCACGCAGTCACCCTCTCCATCTCTCCATAAATCTACCCACAGGCGCGTCGTTGCTTCTGCTGCCATGGCGGACAATGGCTGCCCTCTCTGCTACAACAGCTTCGCCAGCAAGAGAGGGCTGTCGGGGCACATGAGGACCCATACATCGACGGAGCGGAGGGCGGCGGCGACGCTGATTGCCATGAGGCATTCCAACGAAAGCGACTCCTACGCGGGGCCGGCGAGGTTGGTGTGGACCACGAAGGGGAGAAGGAGCGCCCGCTTCCTTGTCCCCAGCGACGAACAGTCGGTTGTGCGTCTCGAGTCCCCAGAGAAGTCGCCGGTCAACGACGGCAAACAGATGCCGGTAATGGCGGAGCCGTGGGTCCTCGAAGTTGTCAAGCGCGAGGAGATGCCCAAACCCGTGGAAGTCAAGCTAGAGCTTCCCCAGCCCGGCGTCGCAGAGGAAGCGGGGGGGCCGTCGGAGACCAAGAAACAGAAGACGGAAGACTCAGCGGCCCTCTACCAGCCTCTGGCTGACGGCCTCGCGGCGGCGCCACCACCGCTGAGGAAGGCGGAAAGAAAGCCAGCAGTGCCCTCCGGGCGAGAGCACAAGTGCAGTACCTGCGGGATGATCTTCCTCACGGGGCAGGCGCTGGGAGGGCACAAGAGGAAGCATTGGCCTGGCCCGGCGCCAACGGGGGGAGCACCCACGCTTCATTGCACTTAGTGTCACATTTGACCTATTACGGTCCTTGTATCTCATGATCAAATTCATTGTATGGGGACCGGGTTTCACACTAATGTGGTGGTCTATTGTCACCACAGTAATGGGTACCCACATTGTAATAAAAGCCTTTTGTTAACCAACTCATTTCAGCGTTGACTTTTCTATATATCGGTCAAACCCATTGTCAGTAGGCTTATCGAGTTAAGCTAGTCATCTGGGCTATTAATATTTGCCCATTTAACATCATGCTGACCTCATGCGTACTAAACCATCCATTTTGTCTAATATTAATAGGTACCCATAGTCTAATATAAAACCTTGCACACTTAACATTATGGAAACCTCGTGTTTACCAATCCATTCACTTTGTCCAATAATAATGGGTACACACAGTCAAATATAAACCTTGTGTCTACCAACTCATTCATTGTTGACTTTTCAATTTATCGGTCAAAACATATTACCCGATTAGGCCAGTAATATGGGTTAGTAATATTTTCCCATTTAACATCCTGCCAACCTCACGTCATTTAACTTATCTCTTTTTGTTCTAATATGGCCATTACACCAAGTGAGTTAAGCACTTTGGTAGCAAGCTTGTATGCTTGACGTAGATATTATCCAGTGCATTGGTTATGGAAGGCCATGAGAGAAATTAACAAGTGGGGTTGAATCAAACTTTGTTGAAATTATATATAATTAATAGTCTTCTATGTGTTCTTCAATGAAGTGAAGTCACTATTTCTACAATTAATTGATCCAAGATTACTCTAGAGACTTAGCAAAATGTCAATAATAAGTATCTAGTAATGGATAAATGGTCATATAAATATGAAATTTTCGTAAATATTAATGACAGTTATCCGCAGAAACAGACAAATCAGCAAAAAAAATGGCGTCTTGTATATTTGGGAGTTAATTTTCCAGATATTTTCGATGGCGCGGACGGCGCTACCGCCCGGATGGCCCAGTGCGTCCCCTGCTTCCTCCAGCCACGGCCTCCCCGCCAATTCCGCCGCCGCGCCGCCCGTTACAATGCCCCGTCTCGGCCCGCCACGCTGTGCTCCGTCCCGCCGGACGGTAGCGAGGTGGGCACCGTCGTCTCAGCAGTCGGCGCCGCCGCCGCCATCGCCCCGCGCACCACCGCGTCGTTGCCCTACTCATCCCTCCTTCAGTCCTGCATCGACTCCGGTTCCTTTGAGGAGGGGATGCGCATTCACAGGCAGATGGTCGTCAGCGGCTTCCGGCCAGATGCCTACCTGCAGACCAAGATCCTCATGCTCTACGCTCGATCGGGGACTCCGTCTGGGCTAGCCACCGCACGAGAGCTCTTCGACGGAATGCCCCAAAGGAACTCCACGGCCTGGAACACGATGATCCTGGCCTACGCGAAGGATGACGACCATGGCGAGGTGCTGGATCTCTTCTTCCGGATGCAAATCTCAGGAGTTCCGCTGGACGTGTTCACATTCCCCAGCGTCATCAAGGCCTGTGTGGCCCTCGGCCTTGAGGGCTTCCTGCAGCAGCTCCATGGGATGGTACTCAAGGCCAGATTGAACAAGGACCTGATTGTGGGAACCGTGCTGGTGGAAGGGTATGCCCAGCTTGGTTCCATGGAGGACGTTCTCAGAGCCTACAGCGAGGTCGAGGGCCCCAACTTGGTCACGTGGAACGCTGTGCTCGGTGGGTATGTAAGGCGGTCACTGTGGCACGAAGCTTGGGAAGTTTTCCAGACCATGGAGAATGCCGGCGTGCGCCCCAACCATTCCACCTTAGCTTCAGCTTTAAGGGCCTGCGGCGGCCTGAGATCTCTGCATAGAGGAAACCAAGTGCACGCAAAGCTAATCACCCACGGGTTTAGCGATGACATCTTTCTCTGCAACTGTCTCATTGATATGCACGCTTCGTGTGGGAACACATGGGGCTGCCTGAAAGCGTTCGATTTAATGCCCGAGAGGGATCAGGTGAGCTGGAACACAATCATTTCTGGTTTCTCACATCTGGGTCATCCCGAGGAGTCCTTCTTGCAGTTCCATAGGATGCAGGAGTCAAGCTTCAAGGCCGACAGGTTGACATTAGCGAGCCTCCTCAGAGCCTGTGCCTGTCTGGTTGATGCCAGCTACGCTGGACAGTTGCATGGGTACTTGGTCAGGAGATGGCTAGACTCTGACCTAATTTTGGGAAGTGCACTGGTGGATCTGTACGCCAAGATCGGCTGCATGGAAGAGGCGTATGCTGTTTTTGGCAGGTTAGAGGAGAGGAACGAAGTGCCTTGGAATGCTCTAATCTCTGGATATGTTCAGGAGGGTGGTACTGATAGAGCACTCGAAGTCTTCCACAGAATGAGAACAGAAAGCTGTTCACCTGATCAATTCACCTATTCCAGCCTGCTGGTTCTGGCTTCAGAACTGGGCGATGCAGAGCTGGGGAAGCAAATCCACTCTCAAGTCATCAGAACAGTCTCTGAGCCCAGTTTGATACTAGAAACTGAGTTAGTTCATATGCATTCTAAATGCGGAAAGCTAGCCAAGGCACTGAAGATTTTCAGCAGGATGCCCCAGAGGAACGCATATTCTTGGAATTCTCTCATCGAAGGGTTTGCCAAAAATGGTCAACCCCATGAAGCCTTCAAACTCTTCCACCAGATGCAGCTTGCTGGAATGGAACCAGATTCTTTTTCCCTTTGTGGCGTGCTTTTGGCCTGTGTGAGTCTTTTCCATGCAGGGAAATTGAAGGAAATCCATGGCTACGCTGTTAGAAACTTCCCTGGAGACCATGGGATTGTAGTCTCTAGGGTTCTCGACGCCTATGCAAGGTGCGGGAGCACGGCCTCTGCGTGGAAGATTTACAGCAATACCCACGAGAAGGACGTTGACTTCCACAACGCCATGCTCTCTGTGCTTGTGAATGACAGAAATCTCGGTGGAGCCATGGAAGTATTTGAAAGGATGGAGGAGAGAAACACGTCGTCTTGGAACTATGTTTTAATGGGATGCATGAAAGAGGGCCTAAAAGATGAGGCATTCTCCCTCTTCCACAGGATGCTGGGGGCAGGGATTGAACCAGACAGTGAGACAATGGTTCCATTGCTAAAGATATGCGCGAATATACCTTCTGTTGATATGGGGAAGCAGTTGCATGCCTGCATCGTCAAGAAGGGGCTTCTCCACAGATCAGTCGTCCTGGACAGTGCCATGGTCGGCATGTATGCCAAGGGTGGGCACATCGAGGAGGCCAGGAGGTACTTTGGTCTGATGAGGGATAGGGGTGTTGTTGGATGGAATGCCATGATATCTGGTTATGCACAGCATGGGCGCAGCAGGGAAGCCTTGAAACTTTTTGAAAGAATGCAGAGAGAGAATGTTCTCCCCAACAATTTGACCTTTCTCTCTCTTCTTTCATGTTGCAGCCATACTGGGCTTCTGAAGGAGGGCCTCTCCATATTCACATCCATGGTTACCAAGTATGGGCTGGAGGCCAGAGGAGAACATTACACCTGCATGGTGGACCTTCTTGGCCGAGCAGGCCACATTGACAATGCCAAGGATTTCATTGAGGGGATGCCCATGGAGCCAGATGCTTCCACATGGGGAGCTTTGCTGGGAGCTTGTAGGATTCATGGAGATGTCAATGTCGCCAGGCTTGCTGCCAGTAAACTTCTCGAATTGGATCCCAAGAATGCAGCACATTACATCCTCATGTATAATGTTTATGAGGCAGCCGGAAGATGGGTGGAGGCAGAAGAAATTAATGAAATGATGAGAAAGGGTGCGATAAGGGAACCGGGTATGAGCTGGATTGAGGTCAACAACGAGATCCAAATCTTTCATTGTCATGACAGGTCGCATGCAAGGACAGAGGAGATGTACTCTATTCTGAGATGCCTATATCAGGAGGAGAGCATGGCGCATTCCATGCATTAGACTTCTCTAAGTAAAGATCATTACATGGAACCTATCTCTAGCTGCTCCCTCTTCAGCCCTGGAGAAGTCACTCGACCAGGGTGAAAGATCAGGGTTATTGTGACAGAAAGACAAAACTGTCTCATCAAGATTATCTACGTCAATCTCCATGGTGAAGAACAGTCGCTGCAGGGAGCAAGCACAAGTTCGAAAAATGGGTGTACTCTTTATGGGTACTAGTTTCAAGGCAGATAAATCCCCAAGATATGAATACGCATTAGTGTTTAGGTGTACCTTCTGGCTCCTGGTCGTAGATTGTGGTGAATCTTGGCAGGTCTTGGTGAGAAGCTTATGTGCGTATGCACCAGGGAACTCAGTAGAACTAACTCTTCATCTTCTGTGGCTGCATGCAACACAAATCCTCTGTCTTTTTGATCATGCGCAGAGTATACATTTGTGTTTCAGAACAAAATGATCCGCTTTTATGGTAGAGTTTCTCCATTTTCTGAGGCCTTACAAGGTCATTTATTGAGTATTTTTCGCTTCTAGTGACGGATTTATGTTGCTAATCATAGAAATGAACGCTTCAACATTTCACAGAGAGGTTGATCTCAAGTTATATAATTTTGTGAGCTTCCCTGCTGATTATCAATGGCATATCTTAAACCTTCACACACCATTACACAGAACATGATAGCAGGTGATGGTTTCAAGCTTTCTGCAGCACAGAGAGAGACCCACTAAAGGTGACCGAAACAGTAGATGGTGAGATGCATTGTCAACCATATGCGAACACAGTGATGTGGACTCTCTACTAAGGTGGTAGTACTAGGAAAAGCTGTTCTTCTTTACATTCGTCTTCGCTTATGTACATATGAAGAGGAAGAGAAGGCAGAGGTTTGGAGCTGCTCTCCCGCAACTGTTCTTTGCCTTTTCTATTCACTTCCTTTGAGGATATTGTATTTGCATAAGGGGCAGGTGGCGTTGATCCGGAGCCATCTAATGATGCAGGTGGAATGAAAGTGGTGGTTGCATGGAAGGGCATGGAGTTCTGTGCCATCTTCATATGCTGTGAGACAGATGCAGCATTCCTAGCACCACAGTAAAATAAAAATAAATAAATAAATAAATATATATATATATGAAAAAGTGTTCACTCAGAAAATAAGTTGAGGAACCCATCGGATGTAAAAGATGTCAAACAGGAAAAAAGGGATGCTAGAAAATGCATGAAAAATGAAGGGAAAAAGAGTGATTTACCAAGAAAATAAGATTTGACTTCCAAGGGATAACATTTACTAAATTAAAAAGTCAACAGGAAAAAAAATAATATTATTCTGAGAATTTAAGACCACTTATTCTCCAATTTCCCACCCAGCGCAGCTGACCGGCAAATTATAAGATTGGTGTCTGAACACATTCATCATGGCTCGTTGGCAACAGTGGTATCTTGGGTTCTGATTCATGACCTCAACCAAAGATCAAAATGACCCACATGCTAGTTGCATCGATCAGAAATCAGTTTATTTTCCTGCACTTCATTCATAGGAAAAATCTCTAACACGCTAAAGCTAGCGATCAGTGATTCACATACTCTAAAGGTATCCGCCGCAATTTCCTTTAAAAGCAACATAAAACCCTCATGCCAAAAAGGACTAAAAATATCCACAAGAGGTGAAGAAAGCAGCATAAGCAGACAGCCTTCTACATTGGCTAACACGCTAAAGCTAGCGATCATAACGATAAGGCAGCATAGAGGACACTTGGTGGCCCATCAGCCAAGGATTCTGTGTTTTCAGATCCAAAGTGAAAAACAGAGATGTCACACATCAGAAGATCGAATGTGGCATTTGGCTTAAGCATCAATGTATGAATGAATAAAACACAGTAAGCACAAGGGAGGGGAGGGCAAACTGTAGTGCCTGAAAGCGAGAGAGGATGAAGTAAGATGCCAGAAGAAGCGAAATTTAGCACCAAGGAAAAAGAAGCAAAACTCAACCTTGATTCGCTCGTTTATAGAATCATAAAAGGTGAACTGATTCGCTCCATAAGAAACGAATAGCTTCTTCCCTAAGCTAGCCGGCATCAGAGCCATCAGTTCTGATTTACAGTAAGCATATCAGATCTATGATACATAACAGCATGTCGGAACAGGGCATTTTATTCACAAGCCCCCGCATCCTAGTAATTGTATTCATGTCATCATTTTTTCTTTTCATATTGGATCCGGTTCGGTTAAAGCGAAACCCGTCTAACCGGAACCGGTCCAATTACTAGAGTCGTCTATGAATACCTGTACCCATCGACACAAATGAATAAGGTCCATTTTTCGCAACCCAATCTCTCGCTCTTTCTCTCTCGAGCGCAATGGTCATCTCTGGCGACCTAGCGCTTCTCCGAAATAGCATAGAAGGAAAGACTCAAAAGAGAGCACTAACGAGTCAACTAAATTTTGACTCATCCAATGAACATGATCAAGCTTCAGAAGCAGTAAATTCATCATGTAAATTCAATACTTGACATAAGAAGGCATTCCAAAAATAAAATATGAAATGCTTACAGCATCCTCTTGCAATAATAACTGTTCATGCGTCTGTTCACCGCCGTTGGTTCCCATGGGTATCATTCTCCCAGCTTCTGCACTTTCTTTTTCCTCATTGGTGCAGAGTTGGACAAACCTGTACTTTGGAAGAATATTGATATCTGCATCTGAAGCACCTTCCTATTTGTGATAAAAAACAAAAGCCATTAGGAATCTGAGAAAGCGCTTTTCCCATCTTGATAGAGAGTTAGGAACTTACCTGTCCAGCTACTGCATAAAGAATTGCAATAATACAAGGCAGACAGCAACACAGTGCAATGCCTATGACACATGCCAAAGCCACGCAAAGGATGGCAAAGAACACGTCAAATGCCAGAAATACTACCGCCAACCTGCACAAGTTAATCACAGGAATTCGGAGATTATGCTCAGTCGACTCTTTTAAGCATTCTGAAAAAAATCACACAGCTAATTTTTTGAAAGCAAATTTTCAACAAGCGATAACAGAGACAGAAGAGAGCACATAAAATCCAACTCTCTAATATGTTCGCCCCTTCGTCCTCTGCAGAAATTTCTCCGAAAGTATACCACACATGGTAGATGGCTGTCAATGTTCTCTTAAATTGGCAAAACTTTGTGACTAGTTTAGGTCATGGGATCAAGTACATCACTGGAGGCGTTGCTATCGATGTGAATAATCATCTAACGAACGGATGCTCCTGAATAAAAGTTATGGATGATATCCTGAATCACGCTTTAATTTAAAAAATGAGAAAATTATGGGAAGCTCATGGAGTATCCTTCTCTTCTGAACTGATATCTGATAATTGATGACTAATGGATGAGGAAGAGGAATCTGATAAACATTAAGTAAATTGAACCCGATTATTCAATCATTTGATACCTAGATTCCAGAGAGAAAATTGACTGCACAGACATGTCAATATAATGTATAATCAAGGATGTTGAATATTAGTAATTTATCTCTATTTTGAAACTGATGCAAAAAAGTGGTTATTCAGGCGATTAAATTTTTTCACTTCACAAATCCACACCCTTATCTGAGTAAATTATGACTTAGGAAAAAGAATGGGCAAAAGGCCTTAGAACGAGAGGAATGTGTGATTTAGTCCAAATCATAAACTGAAATTTAACACCAAGCTTCAAAATAAAAGCAAGTCTAGTTCACTAAACCTACAAACACAGAACAGGCAAGAAGGAGAGAACCACTCGCAGAAATGCATTTTTGATTCAAAAAGGTGAAATTTCATTCAAAGTTATCACGCCATTCATGAATCATACACGTACCAATAAAGTTTAGGAGCATTTTGCAGCAGAGTTTCACCACCAGAGACAACCCAGTAGAAGCCAACCGTCCACCAGAGGAAGGACACCACTGTGTTCAGTGACTCACACCGTTTAGCCATTCTGAGAGAACAAAAAAACGACCTTGAATTAATGCACAAAGCCAAAAAATTGACGCATGATACCTAGTACAACACCGAGGATTGGCAGTTGAGAAAGGAATCTCATTTCCCTCTATGATGATATGTAAGACATGTTTGGTGAAACCGTAAATTCTAGGATAGTGCTAAACCAGCCCTTAACCGAAAATAGAAGCCCTAAGTCAAAATTCTAGCCATTGGTACGGAAGGGTAAAATTTAAGGTTAAAATCAAAACACCATGGGTTGCACACACCTTTAGTTTTTTTAAAAACATGATAATGCCATTGCTCCAGTAGCATTCATTCATGAACTGCAATGTGATATTACAGTGACGAGAGTTTTTAGGGGTATGCAGAAGATAAGGTAGCCTGGTAACCCCTATTATGATGACTGAAGAAAAATAAAATTATCATCTAGAATGTTCAAGTTCTCATCCTAAGCATCAACAGGCCTCAAAGGTACGTTGAATCGTCTTCAAGGCCAATGGCATGTTCACTCCAGATTCTGTAGTTTATTCGGAAGAGAATAACATAATTACGCAAGATTTACCCCAGCTTTCTTAACCTAACATAGAGTCTTACCAACAAAGTTCATGACGGTTTTCGATTCGAATTACGGATGGGGGGAAGAAGGCCACTACGAGGTGAACCACACAAAATTCTATTAATATTTGAAACCTAACCAATCACCGACATACGAAGAGTGTCTGACCAAAGGAGTAAGTAAACGAAAAAACTCAGATTCTACAAACCGTGCCCATCGCCTCCTTCGTCCAAGCAGGGGATCGCCACGCAAATCTTCCTCCTCTTCGCTTTCATTTCCTTCGGAATCAGTGACCTCCTGCCCCCCGTCCTCTACACTCCTCCGCCTCCTGGTCCTCCGACGGTACTCCACCCAAACAAGCGTCGCGTGGACGACGCACTGCAGGGCGTACCCTGCAACCCAGAGCCGGATCAGGACGTTGGGCCGCTCCCCGGTAGTGGACGCCAGCGTGACCGCAGCCGCCACCGCGAAGGCGAGATTCCACACGATATCCAGCGCCACCACCGGCCTCGAGTATCCCCAGTGGATTCGCCGCTCCTCCAGCTGCATCGCCGCGGTTTCCCTTACCAGCGTCGACGCCCCTCTCCGCCCCGTAGCGCGCTCCAGCAGCGCCGCCAGCCTGTTCCGCCGGGAGGCGCTGCCCGCTCTGAGCAGCGGCTCCGATGATCCCGCTGCTGTCGACATGCCCCCCCACCACCACCACTTCTCCCCAATCCCCTCAATTCCTACCTCTCACCCTCGCTGGAACACTTCCAGAGCTCTCGCCGGAAAGAAGATGGCAGCCGCCGCCGTCCCGTCCAGGTCGGTAGACCTGAAGTGGTGGCGCCGCGGTACCGTCACTGGAGGTGTAATTACCGATCTTCATAATATGCTCCGTCTCGTTTGCTTAGCCGGTGTCCCGAACCCGACGGGCCTTGTCCTTTCAGCCTCAGTCACATCCATCCGCCCGTCCACACGAAGGATCCAGTAACCGACGGCCCCCTCTGTCGTAATCCACGAACCTCTTATTGGGCTGGACGGATGGGCCTCCACAAGTGGACCTTCAAGGTGGTGGCGACCCCGACAGAGACCGCTCCGTCTGGTAGACGCTTCTCCTGGGGTCAACCACCGCCGTGGAAGCTTCGACGGTAATCTAAATCGGCACGTGTGGTGGGCACGTGCGGATCAGCAGGAACATACCAAAAGTAGGGGTTTTTCATAGTAATTAAAAGAATAGGGTTATACAATGATTTTAGACCTGAGGAGAGAATGATCTCAGAATGGAAAAGAAAGCTTGGGAACAGAGGGAGGAATGGAAACCCTAACTGTGCACGGTGAGGCGGGGAAGGGCGACGGAGAGAGAGACGACGACTCCGAAGAGGAGGATGAACAGGCCGGCGAAGTTGAGCAGGCGGGACTCCATGCCGGGCTCCGCCGCCCGCTGGGCGAGCCCCGTCTCGGCGGTGCAGATCGTCATGAGGAAGAGGGCCACGCCGGTGCACGCGTGAAGCGGCGCCGCCGCCGCCCTCGCTGGCCGCGGCGCGCCGGGGAACCAGAAGAGGAGGAACCCAAAGATCCACTGCGTGTGAATTATGCGGCGTGATCAGGGGGAAGGAGGAGGAGGAGGAGGAGCCGAAGAGAAACCTGTGGGAGATGGTGAAGAAAACCTGGAGGCCGACGAGACAGATGGTGGCCATCCCCAGCCATGAGTGGAGGCTGGTCATGTCTGGTATGTGGCTCTCCCTGTGGTACTTGAAAGCCGCGTAGACTCCGAAGCTGCCCAAGCCCAGCGCCACCAGCTGCAGCGCCATGTGCACCAGCTTCTGCAGCTTCTTCGGCGCCCGGATTATCTTGAACGCCATGATCGCTGCAGCCAAACGCTCTCATTAGAAGGCACAAGAGAATCCCGTTTCAGACGATGGGAACCCTACCTTCCCCTGCCACGAAGATGAAGCCCATGAACATTACCACCGGGTGTACCTGCGAGAGAAAGAGAGAGAAAGCCACAGAGTTAATGAGAGAAGCGCTGGTGAAAGGGGTGCAGGAACGGGGAAGAATGAGAGACAGCCGTGGGTGTACATTGAGGACGCGTTCCTTGTTGGAGGAGTGGAGGGCGATCCCTCCGCCGAAGCGGATCGTCCACACCAGAAGGAGAACAGCCGCCACAAGGGCGAAGAGGTGCGCCGCTGCCGCGACGTGGGTGGCCATCAGCCGGGTTCCCTCTCGCGCTATCAAGTCCATGTTCCCCCCGAAGAGAGAGAGAGAGAGAGAGAAGAACCAGTTGGGACTGATGAGACCAGGGGGCATATATGGCTCGGAGTCTTCCCCGCCGGTTGGAAGAGAGGAGGGGAAAGGGATGAGCAACACTCTGGCCATTGGGTTTGGTATCCGGAGCTTTCTCCAGGAGAGGGGAAAGCCGCACTTTCAGCGGGAGCAGGCCGAGAGTGGGGTCGCCGGTTAGGGTTAGGCCCAAGGAAGGTGGACATGGTGGGCGACTCCAAAACTTTGGGAATGAAGCAGGTCGATGGCACGGTTGCTGGTTCTCGGACACAAAAGCGATCTATACCGAGTTGACAAGACGAAAGAATCGAAGATGGCTGGAAAAGTCAGGCAACAACGTTGACCCAAACCCACCTCTCTCTCTCTCTCTCTCTCTCTCTCTCACACACACACACACACACACACACATAGACTGGTAAGTGGGCCTTTTTGACTAGTCAAGGCATTTTTTATTGGGCCAGACCGGCCGGCCCATTGGCGTCAAGTGGCAGACTTTGAAACACCCGTTGAACCCATAGCGGGCACAAAATACCCGACCATGGATCCGCGGACGACCCGGGCGACGCACTGTTGGTCCACGTTACTCGCTAGCTGGCGGCAGCCCAGTTGCTTACCTGGTCCAGGAGACAGCTCAACAGGTGGGGAAGTGGCTCCCGAGTGGGGCCCATCACGTGACATCCCCCCCTCCGACGACGTGTCCTCGACAACGACAGATACTCGGAAGTGGTGGCGGGGGCATTTATGTCATTCACTCATATCCCCCGAAATTAATCCCGGATTTATTGGACACTCGCAAAATTCGCCAAAAATCTTTCGAGGGAGCTGGAAACGAGGGCCAGTAAATATTCAGTGAATCATTTTTTATGATTAATTAATTATATATTATTTCCTTTCTTTCAATCATTAAGATTCTGTCGGATTTATTTTATTTTAAAGAAATAATATGTATACATTATCTCTCCCCCTCGGTCTACTCTGTGCCGTGCGAACCCGTCATCTTCATCCTCTTCTTCTTTCCCCTTTTGCACCGCCATCAGCGGCGGGGAATGAGGCGGCCTCGAGAAGCAGCAGCCTCGCTTCCTCGTCGGAGGCGGTAACCTTCAGCCGCCGCCGTAGCAGCCTCTATCATGGGCTCGTATAGACGAACCCTAAGAGGTGGGCTGGGCCTCGTTGGGGTCTCCTTCTTCCTCGCGCTCTCCGTCTTCTTCCCCGGCGCCGCTGATGCGCAGGCCTCCCCTGCCGACGCCGCCGCAATGCGGGCGGTGGCGAAGGGCCTTGGGGCGGACAAGTCTCTGGGCTGGTCCGACGCCGCCGACCCTTGTACATGGCCGCTCGTCTCCTGCTCCGGCAACCGGGTCACCGCCATACAGATCGGCAGCAAAAAGGTCGCAGGCGAGCTCGTCGGCGAGCTCCGCAACCTCACCGCCCTCGTCCGCCTGGAGCTCCAGCAGAACCAGATTGCCGGCCCGCTCCCCTCTCTCGCCGGCATGGTCACCCTTCAGATCCTCCTCCTCCACGGCAACCTCTTCTCCTCCATCCCCGCCGATTTCTTCTCCGGCATGTCCGCCCTGCAGGCCGCGTCACTGGACCATAACCCCTTCGAGCCATGGGAGATACCCGCCAGCCTGAAGGACGCCTCCTCGCTGGTGAACTTCTCGGCTAACTCCGCCAACATCACCGGCACCGTCCCTGACTTCTTCGGCACCGCCTTCCCCAGCCTCTCCCACCTGGCCTTGGCCTACAACCTGCTTCAGGGGGGAATCCCAGCAAGCTTCGCCTCATCTTCTTCCTCCTCCATCCGGTCCCTGTGGTTGAACAACCAGCAGGGGAGCGCTCGTCTCACCGGCCCCATTGACGTTGTCCAGAACATGACCTCCCTCACCCAGCTCTGGTTGCAGTCGAACGCCTTCTCCGGCCCTCTGCCGGACTTCTCCGCCCTCGTCGACCTCCAGGACCTGGGACTCAGGGACAACCGCTTCACGGGCCTCGTCCCGCCGTCGCTCACCTCCCTCCCCTCCCTGAGGAAGGTGACTCTGGCCAACAACCTCTTCCAGGGCCCCGTGCCGGTGTTCCCCATGACCGTTGCGACGGCGGACGTAGACCCAGAGAGCGGAAGGTTCTGCAAGACGACCCCCGGGAGCTGCGACCCTCGAGTGGCCACGCTGCTGGCGGTGGCCAAGTCCTTCGGGTACCCCAGCAGGTTTGCAGAGAACTGGCGGGGGAATGATCCCTGCGCAGGGTGGCTGGGGATCAGCTGCGACGGCGGTGGGAACGTCACCGTCGTCAACTTCCGGGGGATGGGCCTCACCGGCGTGGTCTCGCCGGAGTTCGCCTCCCTCAAGTCACTCCAGAGACTCTGGCTCTCCAACAACAACCTGACGGGGACGATTCCGCCATTGCTGGCCACGCTCCCGAGCCTCAAAGATCTGGACTTGTCCAACAATTCGCTCTCCGGGTCGGTCCCTGCATTCCCTGCCAGTGTTTTGGTGAACACGGCCGGAAATCCAGCCCTCGGAAGGGACGGCGCCGGTGGTTCTTCCCCTCCCACCGCGATCGCACCCCTCGGCGGCGGCGGGGGGTGGGACTCAAATGCGCCGGACAGCGGCGGCGGATCAACCGAGAGAGCTTCTTCCCGTTCAGTCGGGATCATAGTGGGATCGGTGTTGGGGGCCGTCTTTGGAGCCTCCCTGATCGGACTGCTGATCTTCTCTCTGTACAAGACGAAGAAGCGAGCCTCTGGCAGAGTCCAGAGCCCGAACACCACCGTGATCCATCCCCGGCATTCCGGCTCCGATCAAGACCTGGTGAAGATCACCGTCGCAGGCTCCGCCGCTCTGACCAGCGGGGCGAGGACCCTCAGCGAGACGCGCAGCACGGCGAGCAGCATCCCCGCCGGCGGCGACGCCTGCCTGGTCGACGCCGGCAACATGCTCATTTCCATCCAGGTGCTCCGGAGTGTCACCGGCGACTTCAGCGAACATAACATCCTGGGCAGCGGCGGTTTCGGGACTGTCTACAGAGGGGAGCTCCACGACGGAACGAAGATCGCCGTGAAGAGGATGGAATCCGGCGTGATGGGCTCCAAGGGCCTCGCCGAGTTCCGCTCGGAGATCGCCGTCCTCACCAAGGTCCGCCACCGCAACCTGGTCTCCCTCCTCGGCTACTGCCTGGAAGGGAACGAGAGGCTCCTGGTTTACGAGTACATGCCCATGGGCACCCTCAGCCGCCACCTCTTCGACTGGAAAGACGAAGGGCTGAAGCCATTGCAGTGGACGAAGAGGGTCGCCATTGCCTTGGACGTGGCCAGAGGGGTGGAGTACCTCCATAGCCTTGCTCACCAGAGCTTCATCCACAGGGATCTGAAGCCTTCCAACATCCTCCTCGGGGACGACCTCAAGGCCAAGGTCTCTGACTTTGGCCTCGTCCGCCTCGCCCCCGACGGCAAATGCTCCGTCGAAACCAGGCTCGCCGGAACTTTCGGCTATCTTGCTCCCGAATACGCAGGTATCCTAAAAATTCCCCGAAGTCGTTGACTTTATATTTCTTCCTCGGTCGTTGACTTACTTGGTGTTCCTCCGACAGTGACGGGGCGAGTGACCACGAAGGCAGACGTGTTCAGCTTCGGCGTAATCCTGATGGAGCTGATAACGGGGAGGAAGGCCCTCGACGAGAGCCGGCCGGAGGAGAGCGTCCACCTGGTGTCCTGGTTCCGGCGGGTGCAGCTGGCCAAGGGCGGCGGCGACTTTCGGGAGGCCGTTGACCCAGCGATCGAGCTGGACGAGGAGACGCTGGCCAGCGTCGCCACCGTGGCGGAGCTGGCGGGGCACTGCTGCGCCCGAGAGCCCCACCAGAGGCCCGACATGGGGCACGCCGTCAACGTCTTGTCCCTGCTGGCGGAGCTCTGGAAGCCCGTTGACCCCGACGCGGAGGATGGCCTCGGGATCGACCTCGAGATGACGCTGCCGCAAGCGCTGAAGAAGTGGCAGGCCTTCGAGTGCGACGCCCCGCCCAACGGCGGCGGCGGCGCCGCCTCCCCGTCGTCCTTCGCCGCCAGCAACGACACCACCCAGACCAGCATCCCCACAAGGCCCTCCGGCTTCGCAGACTCCTTCACCTCTGCCGATGGAAGGTGAGATCAACAAGGTCAACGGACTCCTGATCTCCAGCCGCCATCCTGCGGACAGACTGTACATGACATTCCGCCAACTTCTTCTAGCTCGAACGTCTCTCCCGTCCTGTAATATTATATTTATATATATAGTTTTTATTTTGAATATTTTTTTATTCCGCGTAATTTATAGAAAATTATACGACGAAAAACATACGAAGCGGTTGTCGTACGTCATCTCTCTCTCTCTCTCTCTCTCTCTCGCTAGAATCTCTCTCGGTATTAAAATGTGGGAGTTACCTTGGTCGTATGATCACACGACTTTTTCTCTCGACGACACGTCACCCGAACGCGGCGTTGCTTTGATGACCTGGCAGCCGGCGTTTATTAACTGCCGGTCGGCTCCCGCTCGACGGCGCTTGGAATTCTCATCTCCGGGTTGGACGGCGACGACCGTGTCAAGTATTGGATTCTTCAACTGCCGTCGATTGCCGACGTCTCTCGCCCGGTTCGAACCGGTTTGGCAAAAATAGACCGGTCTACGGAACCGCGTGGCAGGGCGATCCGAACCGGAAGCCCAGTTGGGGACAGGGGTTGGGGGAGATCGATGGACGCGTTGACTGGCCGAGTCGGGTGTCTGATATTCTCTGTTCTCCATCTGTTACCGTTGTTTATCCGATATTCAAAATTCAACGGTCAACATTCAAATTCAGACTCTCTCTCTCTCTCTCTCTCTCTCTCTCGCTCGTGTCCCCCGCCGTGTATTGGGCGAACGCTTTGACGCGTTAATTGCGAGCCAAGCCAACGTCAAAGCAGCCGAACCGGTCTCACCGCGGGGCAAGAGAGAGAGAGAGCGTTATATATATCGGCAACAAGAACCGTGGGAAGCATTCTGCCAGGAAAGAAAAGCTACAAGGCGCTCCTCCCCTCTCTCTCTCTCTCGATCTCTCGATCTCGCTCTCAAGGTTACAGCGAAAGCTTGCAGATGAGTTTCAGGGTTATGACGCGGCGGAGCGGCCGGAAGAGCTCCTTCGGCGTGAGGGCGCTGGTGGGGCTGCAGGGAGGGGAGCTGACGGTGCCGGCGCACTTCCGGTGCCCGATATCTCTGGAGCTGATGAAAGACCCCGTCACGCTGCCGACTGGGATCACCTACGACCGCCGCAACATCGAGGCATGGCTGGAGGCAGGGCACGAGACCTGCCCGGTGACGAAACGCCTGGTTGCCGGCGGCCAGGACCTGACCCCCAACCACACCATCCGGAGGCTGATCCAAGACTGGTGCGTTGCCAACCGCAAGTACGGCGTCGAGCGGATCCCCACACCGCGGATTCCGACGAGCGCCGCCGAGGTCGCCGGGATCCTGTCCGAGCTCGCCGCCGCGAGCCAGCGCGGGGAGGTCCCACGGTGCCTGGAGTTGGTGGGCAGAATCAGGTGCCTCGCCGGGGAGAGCGAGCGCAACCGGCGGTGCATCGTCTCCAACGGGGCGGCGGCGGTGCTATCGGCAGCCTTCGCGGCCTTCTCGAGGGTCAATGCCGGCCGGCCTGCGGAGGTGGAGGAGGAGATCCTGGCGGCCCTCGCCGGGATGTTCCCCCTCGGCGCGGAGTCGCGGTCGCAGTTGGCGGCGCCGGAGTCGCTGCGCTCGCTGGTGGGGATCGTCAGCAACGGGGATCTTACGGGGCGGCTCAACGCCGTGCAGGTGGTGAAGGAGCTCGTGCACACCGATGTGGCCCTCGTCGGTGCCGTCGCCGACGCCGAGGGGATGGCCGAGGCCCTGGTGAAGCTGATAAGGGAGCCCATCTCCTCTCAGGTCACCAAGTCTTCTCTGGTGGCCATCTTCTACATGGTTTCGTCCAGAGAGGCGACCGCTTCCAGGTTCGCTGCCATGGGTCTGGTTCCTGTCCTGTTGGACGCCCTTGTGGACTGCGACAAGAGCACGACGGAGAAAATCACGGGCGTTCTCGACGGGCTCTGCGGCTGCCGGAGGGGGAGGCAGGCGGCATACCATCACGCGCTGACCACCCCCGTCCTGGTTAAGAAGATCCTACGGGTCTCGGTCATGACGACCGAGTTCTCGGTCTCCATCCTGTGGAAGCTCTGCAAGAACTCAGACAGGGAAGCGGAAACGGGAGAAGGGTGCCTGGCGGAGGCGCTACAGGTGGGCGCCTTTCAGAAGCTGCTGCTCCTCCTCCAGGTTGGCTGCGGCGAGGCCACCAAGGAGAAGGCCAGCGAGCTGCTGAAGCTACTGAACGCTTCCAGGTTGAAGCCGGAGTGCATTGACTCCGCCGACTTCAAAGCCCTGAAGAGACCCTTCTGAGGCCCCCTCCCACATTCACAAAAAGATCAAAACGACGGGACGAAGAATCCCGTGTACAGATACCCACATAAACCCATCTCTGCTAGACCGGGTTGCTGTCACGATAACCTAATTTTGATCCAGTCTCTCTCCACGAGAGGAAGAAAAACTGTTCTCGTCCATCATGTCTCAATACTCCTCCCCTTGGTCGACCCGATGAGCGAGACGTCGACAAAGTGGCCGGCGTCCTGCTCGGCCGCGGCGGCGATGGCGAGCTCCGACGCGGTCCAATACGTACTGGCTTTCCAGTGCTCCGCGCGGCGGTGAGTCACCACGACGAAGCACGGGTTCCCTGGCGGCGGTTTGACGGGGTAAACACAACAAGTTGGTAGGTCGCAACCCCATCTCCCTCACCGGCCTGTCGTCTCTTCCCAGTCCAATCCGGGACCGGGGGGGTCGGCTTCTGGGTTGAAAAATCTACAAAGGTTTGACCTCGAAGACGTCAACGGTTTGAACAAGACGAGAAGCGACTGAGTGGAAGAAAGGAAAACCCTAGGATACGACCGTCTATGAGCAGAGAAGAAAAATCCCTCCCGTTTGTATACAGCGTTTGGAACGGATTTGGGATTTGTTCTGTCGAGCCGGTTTCGGTTCGGTTCGGCTCCTTATCGGGTCCAATCGCCTACGTATAATATGATCACGATTAGTTCCCGGCAGAGATCGTGAAGTGAGGAGGGCGAGAAGATGCTCCGCGTCTCCGAGGATGGACGCCGCCGGCGGGAAGGGTTCGTGGCCACCTACAGGCACCTCTGCGCATCCCTAACGGAGCTCCAGGAAGCTGTGGACCGGATCTTCGATACCATCTCCCGGAGGGTGAGTTTAGGGCGGCTGTGTTGACTCTGCTGGGTTGTTTTATTGATTGATTCTGTCTTCTTTTGTCTCGCTTTTACCGTGTTTAGAATTTCTGTTCATCTGATGTCCTCTGTAGATCACGGAAGAGCGTGACAAGCTGACCGAAATATCTGAAAGGACTCAGAGAGCAAAGGTGATCACGATTGCTTCTCATTTCCCTTTTACATTTTAGTCTTCACGCCTTCGTGCTTATAGGGTGCGTATGTTGTCTGTGTCTCTCGTAGACGAATCCTCGTAATCCCGAGGAGAAGACCTGCTGCAAATACATATATTTGGTCGATGAGAAAATTCACTTGAAATCTTATTTTGTCGAAATATGATGAGAGTGGCGCCTTCAGCATGTGGATACCTGCTGTTGACTGCTAGATATCGTCTGTTTAAGCGTAGCCTTCCATTGATTGCCCTCTTGCAAGCATATCTTATGCAATTACGAGCTTCTACTCTTGTTGACCTTGGGCTTCGATCCTGGCTTTAAGATAGTATTAGAACGATCGTTTCTCAGTCGACGGAAGGAAATGCATCACTGAACTTCTCTTTCGGTAGTGACACATCAAAGCGTAGGGCAATGCATCACTGGCGTATCCCTGCCGAATCTCTTTCTAACCTCAGCCCGAGAAGACAATGAGCATATACCTAGTACCAGGTATTTACTACTGTAAAGTCCTCAGATACAGATAAGAAAGCTCTCTTGATAAGATAAGCTGTAAAGTCCTCAGATACAGATAAATCATGCTGTAACACTACCTAAATTTTTCATAAACCCAATTTCTCTGAAAATGTTTAAAATCATGGCTCGTACTGCTCGCGCACAAAGACATTTTTTTCTAACTAGACTCATTTAGTGAGATTTTGGGTCTCCTCCACTTGAGCCATTTCCGAACTGGAGGTTGTGTCGAAGGATTGTCCAAGATGAAGAAAGATAGGGCACAGAATGCCTACTATATTCTAACCAGGGGCCAAGACGAATGTTTTTGTGTATCTTCTTGAGTTGAGTAGGGTAAAGTTGCCATGCCATGCCATACCATATTATTTAGGAGTGTAGATTTATCTGTTCCTTAGAACATGAAAACATGGATTTATTCTTTTGCCTGATTTGTGACGTTATTTTTCTGTCAATCCAATTATGGCTTTTATTATGTATTTCAGTAATACGGGGAATGGAATCTGTGGAAAAACTGAATGAGATAGTTTCGTACTAGAGGCCTTACTCTTACACCCTTTTCAGGTAAGGTTTAATATTTTAGAAAAGGGGAGAGGAAGCCTTAGCATTCAAGTTGCTAATTTGATTTTATGATGAGAAAAAAATATGGTAGTGACAATAGAAGATGCACGACAGAATCAGGTGGGGCATTGATTGTTTATGAGACTGTAAAAGAAAGATGTTGATTGGATCGAGACTCAAATAAAATGGACTAACTGGTTCATGGGGTGTGCATCCACAACTGGATTTCTATTTTTGTTAAAGGGAGACCGTGGAGTTTCATCTAAAGTTCTGATGGGCCATGGCAGGGTGACCTAATTTTTCCATACCTCTTTCTGCTCTAGGGAACCTCTAGTTCAATGCCACAAGGCGTTGCAATTACAGAGCTTGTTGTGTGGGAGTAAAGAAGGAACGGACGACCTTGTGCTTTTTTATTCCATCAAACTTTATTTTTCTCTCTCTCTCAATCTCCAACACTCCAAGAACTCCAAAAGATTATAACTACGGCCTTAAGAAGTCCCTTCTTTTTAGATGTGAGAGGTCAAGGATGTAGAGAAGAACAGAGTGGGATTGGTTCCTTATAAGATTCTTCAATGGAGATCTTTCAGCAAAGAGGTTATGGGGACTAGGGGCAGAAAAATCTCACCTAATCAAAGCTATTAAAATCAGAGCACCGTTTCAACGGGGTAAATTTCTGTTTATGGAGATAAGTTTCCACTTTGCTTCTGTAGATTTCCATGAGAAGAATGAGATTGAAGTTGGAAAGGTATGATACTTGCCATAATTTTTATGACAGTCTGGAGTAGAGTGTTCTTGAAGATGGATAAGTGGAATTTCCTTTGCTATAACTGTTATTTTATTGCCCTCCATCTCAGTTTTCTTCAACATCTTCCCATTTGTAGAATGCGATCAGTGATCTATCCAGTTCAAAGGGTCCACTCATCATCGGATCACCCCTGCAGTACCCCTCGCCTTCTGAGAACGAAAGGGGTTTTCGTCCTTTATTTGAACACAGAGATGGATCTCCTGGACTGAACCTTCCAGTGGCCAAGATATCAGTAGATGGAGGTCTGAGCAGGGTGGGCAGCAGCAACCGTGGCCATCTCTCTTTCCTTTCTCAATCTGGAAATTTCTGAGACATCTTTTCCTCCAATGTTACCTGGTTTCTAGGAATTCGGATTGGATGGGACGCTTGAGCTCTTCAAGTTCTTCTCAGAAGCAAGCATCACAGACGTCCAGAGGGAGAGCCACAGTCAGTCATCCCAAGGTAATCTCTAAAGGACTGTCTCTATCTGCTCATTGCCAGGTTTTCTCTGGTTTTGACAGAGACTTTAGTCTTATGTTCTTACAGATATGAAGGGCTTTTTTAAAAATCTTTAATATTGTGATCATACCAATTCCCAAGGAAACCCAACCCCCCAGCAGCTAGCTGTAAGTCAACACATCCTTCCCTGTTCAGATAGAGGAGCTAATATGGTTGACTTTTGTAACCTGATTGGGGGACGATTATGGTGCTTTTGACCAATAGAGAAAGCTATTACAAGTCCTCCCTCCTTTTCCAGTTTTGGCCAAGCATACGCCTCGTAAGGTGGGCTTTTCATCGGGCCTGATCCCGCCAAATTGACTGCTAAAAGGGTATCTTTGTCTTTTCGAACAACACTGAAGTCAACTAGGAGGATATTCGAGAGATATTGTTATGTTTAATACCAGGAATTTATGTAGTAAAAAATGGGGGATTTTTTTTCTTTTCTGGTCTGAAGCATCGTACCAAACCTAGAAATGGGTAAATCTTGGTCTCATATAAACTGGCATTCTAGAGACTGAGCCATCCGAAGACGGAGCAGCATGCTAGGAATTCCTCATGAACTTGCCTTTCTGAATATGTATGGCGTCGATATATGGCGTCTGCTGTCAGACGTATGATACTAGTGGTTAGAGAGAGAGAGAGATTTACTCTCATCTAGCGATAGGTTTGAGAGGTGGGTACGCTTTAAATGTTCCTCCGAAGATCATGGCTTTTCTAATGCCTGTCATGTTTCTGTCACCGACCCTTCTCAGGGTTCTTCGCTGTCTGATCGCGACAACTGCAGCGGCTCTTCTCCTCCGCCCCACGGCGGCCTCGAACTGCTCACCAGCGGGTCGCCTCCGCCGGCTCTCTCTCTCTATCTATCTATCTATCTATCTATCTATCTGCCCCCCTCCGTCGCCTCGATCACGGTCAACCCTCGGCGGAGAAATTTCACACTCGTTTAATCTTATGGGTTTCCTCGTGGCTTAAGGGTCACGTTTACCCCCAAGGTTAGGATAAGGAACAGAATACTTTGGTTTGTCCCCATGCAATTAAGTGAGAGAGAGAGAGAGCCCCCGTGGGTCTGGGGCCGTCGGGTTACTGTTCCCGCGCGTTGACTTCAGCACCACCACCGCCGCGAGCTTAATGGGATGCACGCCGCTCGGGGCAGCTGCTGTCGCATTCGAAGAATGGATTCCTCTCGAGGACACCGTCTCCCTTCTCTCTGCGCGCCCCCTGTCTTCCTCTTCATCCTCGCCGCCTCAAACCTCGTCACCTTCTTCGTCTTCTCCTCCACCTTCTCCTTCTCCTCCTCTGGCTGCTCCGCCTCCTCTTATTTCACCTCCCCCCTCACCGCCGGAGCCGCCGCCGGCGACGGCGCCACAGTCACCGCGCAGGTGGAGAGAGCTTCTCCCGCCGCCGACCTCCCGCCGGAGTCCCTCGCCTTCACCGCCCCGCAGAGCTTCCCCTTCGGGCGCAACCCCAACTCCCAATCCGACGTCCTCATCGCCCCCGTGGGACACCCCTGTGAGCTCTTCCCCGCCGAGCTGAGCCGCTTCATGACCTACCCGGTCAACGGGTCCTGCCCCGACGACGAGTTCGAAGCCCAGCGGCTCCTCCTTAAGGGCTGCGAGCCCCTCCCTCGCCGGCGGTGCCGCCCCGCCGCCCACGCTGACTTCGTGGAGCCGGCGGCGCTGCCGGAGAGCCTCTGGTTGACCCCGCCGGACTCCTCCGTCGTGTGGACAGCCTACACCTGCAAGAACTACGCCTGCCTCATCGAACGGAAAAACCAGAAGGACTTCGACGACTGCAAGGACTGCTTCGATCTGGAGGGAAGGGAGAAGAGCCGATGGGTCGTCCCCTCCGACAACCCCCTTGACTTCTCCATCGACGAGGTGCTGCGGCTGAAGCCCCCGGGAACGGTCCGCATCGGGCTGGACATCGGCGGCGGCTCGGGGACCTTCGCGGTGCGCATGAAGGAGCGCAACGTCACGGTGGTCACGACCTCCATGAACCTCAACGGGCCCTTCAACAGCTTCATCGCCGCCAGAGGGGTCATCCCTCTCTACCTGAGCATCTCCCAGCGGCTGCCCATCTTCGATAACACGCTGGACGTGGTGCATTCCATGCACGTCATCAGCAACTGGATCCCTGATACGCTCTTCCACTTCATCTTCTTCGACATCTACCGGGTTCTCCGACCAGGCGGAATCTTCTGGCTGGATCACTTCTTCTTCGTCGAGGAGCAGATGGGCAAGTACGTCTCCATGATCGACAGCGTAGGGTTCCGCCGCCTCAAGTGGGTCGTCGGCCGGAAGCTCGATCGGGGTCCCGAGCTCAAGGAGATGTACATCTCCGCCGTCCTGGAGAAGCCACTGAAGAACTCCTGGTGACATTCCCTCTCTCTCTCTCTCTCTCTCTCTCTCTCTCTCTCTCTCTCTCTCTCTCTCTCTCTCTCTTTCTCTCTCCCCTTCCTTCCTCCTCCCTGTTGTCATCATTGCTTCCGCCATAGCCAACCTTGCGAGCTGCGGGAATGGCCGAAGTTTTCAACCGTTTCAGATCATCGTTTCTCCCATGAATATCCTTCGTCTGCACATCCGGACTCCTGCAATCTTGGGGTCCGCCCAAGACGAGGAGGGTCTTTGACTTTCCATCTTTGATCTACGGGGGAGGCCGCGTGCCTCGGTTCCTCCATCTCCCTCTAGGCCAATAAGGCATGCCGTCGCCGGAGCTCGACTGTGGGGACACGGCCCAAGGTTGCACCATTATTTGGCCCTGTCCGATCTCGGCCTTTCTCCAAGCTCTCTGTGCCCCATAAGACGATACTCGTCGTAGTATCTCCGGCAGATTATACTCCACGTGTGAAACTCTCAAGCACAGATCATGTGCCCAATGAGAGAGAGAGAGGGACAGAGAGAGGGAGAGAGAGAGGGAGAGAGAGAGAGAGAGAGAGAATTTCATGAAACTGCGAATGCCTAGGTTAAATTAGAAAAATGATTATGTTTTCCTTCTGTATTCCTACTAGTAGTAATAACAATTATTTATTTTTATTTCGTGTGCGACAGGGATTTAAAATATAAAGGGAATTATTTTTTTTTAAAGATATTGTCGATATAAAAAAATCTCTCTGAGAGTCGAGATCAATTAAAGATAGAAAAATCCCTCGCATAGACCTCGAAGACTGGACGAGGACCCGCCATTAATCTTGGATGTTTATTGAGAAGTTTCAACACCTCTTGCAACATCGTAAAAGTAAAATAATTAAATCACAAAATATTATTTTAAAAAATGGCTAGATCTGGCCACTTTGTTTATATTATCTTGGAATGTCGTCATAAAAATAAATAAATAATAAAATATTAATTTTTGGGAGGCCTTTATATGAAAATCACTTTATTTTCCTCCTAATGGCCTACGACTTTATAAGGATGAACCATTTTATTTAGAAATGATCCCGTAATTGCTGATTTTAAGCCTAATAGAGCAATAATCCATGAACTGGTTACTTCCAAAATAAAAATGCAACCTTTAATCTAATTCTAAATGCTCGAGAATCTATTAGAACGAAGAGGCCTTATAATTATCCTAGGAGAAGCCCAAAACAAAATTCGAATAATTTTATCAATTAAATAATTATCAGATGATTATTTAGGGTCGGTAGCTCCGGAGCAGATAATGCGAGTTTATAAAGATTGCACCTTTTTTACAGTTCCCCACTGATTTAACTTGCTCCAACCGTGCGGCGGCGGAGCAGCAGCCGTCTTTCCCCCGGCTTTGACTTGATACGAAACGGGTGAAGCTGCGACCGGTCGCCCCCGATCCCTTTGCTCTCCTCTTCCGACCCAACTCGAGCTGGGCAACTTCCCCGGCCCCTTCCAGCGACCCCTTATCCGTCGTGGACCATCAGAACCTACTTAAGGAGGGCAGCAGTTGCCCCTGCCGCCCGTTATCCGTCTCGTCCGATTCTGTCCAATTGCATACTCCTTTCCTCACTCCTTCCTCCCCCGCCTCCGGCGGCGCCTCCCCCAATGCATGGACGCCCCGTCACTTCTGAGACTGTCCGCTCGCTCCGCGCTCCTCAGTTCCGTCGATGCCAGGGGGATGGCTGTTAGGGCTTCTTCAAGCTGTCTCGTACGGTCTCGGTCTTTATTTTTCCTCTGTTCGTCGCCCTCCTAGAGTTGATCATTCGCGCTGAGATGGGTCTGTCCTCGCAGGTGTGGCCTCGGAGGGCTCGCTACCCCGTGAGTAATGCTGCTGTTGTTGTCACTTCTTTTAGGCTCTCCCTCTTCCACGGGAGACAATTGTCGACCGGCGTTGGCGAAGGCTTCCCCGGTTCCTCTTCCAAGCGGAGAGCTAGAGGCCCCGTCATGGCTGCGAAGAAAGCGTCCGACGGTATGTTCCCGCGATACCCAGTACGACATCCTGAGAAGCGATTGCGACGTTTCTTCTGGGAGTTCATGTTGGTTACAATGGTTGAAGTGTTCGTTTGTTTTTTTTGGTGGGAATTGGACTCTTCGGGATTGCCGAGAAAAGGTGAGAAGCAGAACGAAGGGAAGTATAAGCACACGTTGAACCTGCCAAAGACGGCATTCGGGATGAGGGCCAACTCCAGTGTTCGGGAGCCCGAGATTCAGAAGCTTTGGGAGGAAAATCAGGTCATGAAGAGAGTAGTCGAGAGGAATAACGCGGTGGGTCTCTACCTATGTTCATTATTGCCTTCTACCCATTGGTCGTCGTCTCCAGTCTTGTAATTTGGTTTATGCCCTTTAATTGGATTGATTTGGCAGGGGACTTTCATTCTTCATGATGGGCCGCCTTATGCCAATGGGAGTTTACACATGGGGCATGCTTTGAATAAGATTTTGAAGGATATCATCAATCGGTATAAGGTAGGCCTCTCTTCGTCCTTAGGCGCTTCTAACGGTAGAGCTACTGGATTTTACATTTCTTCTTAGCCATATGTGGTCCACGGCATGTTGACAAGTTTCACTGTTGTGAGAATCACATTGCAAGGAGCTGAACATAATCGGGTTTGGCATAATGACCATGGAAACAAAAAGAAATAACACATGTTAATTCATGGTCATCTCATTTATAACAAATAAAACATATACTTTAACTATCATAATTAAAGGCATTACTGCAACGTTGATAAGCTCACTTGGTTTTTTTATTTTTTTATTTTTTATTTTTTATTTTTTACTCGTGTTCCTCATAATTAGCTTTTATTTCCTACTCAGTATAACTTCTCGTCAATATTCTGCATTCCTTTTGCATTAGATATCTGTTAATTCCACCTTCATTGCTGGGGTTTTCTCTTCAGTTGAGTGAACAACCACTTTTTTCTTTATCCGTTCCTCTCTCATAAAGCACACGCTTATTCATGGTTTTAGACCAGTCTTGTGATGATACATGTCACAAAGATAGCACCATATTTCCCCCTTGTGAAATTTTGGTTCTGGGTTCTGCTGTAGTGTACTAGATTCTGGGGATACTCCCAGGATGACGAACCTCAACCAATCTCTTGAATATATGTAAATGAACTCTGCCATGAGTTTTTACCAATGGATGCTCCCCCAAATTTTGAACTTCTGTTTTATCTGGCCGGACATTGTTAGTATGGTTTGTCTGCTGTAAATACAGTAGGAGAATAGGCTCGTAATTTTCCAAGGATATATAAGATCGGATAACCTGTTGTTCATCTATCAATCTAAGATTCATTACTTGTAGAGGGGCAACCCCTACCAAGAAAATGACGGTTTTTTTAAAAATCAGGTTTTCTGACATGTTGTAACATTGCTTGCTTATCTTTACTTTTATTTACTATTCTCAACATTAAGTATGGAAAATCTCTTGACAGCTTACATGTGTTGTGGCTCGTATGATTAGCATCTTACATTAACCACTGCTATTCCCCTAACATCTGGAAGCGTTTTATACTTGACAGCTTCTTCAGAACTATAAAGTTCACTATGTGCCAGGTTGGGATTGCCATGGTCTGCCAATAGAGTTGAAAGGTTAGTGTTCTTTCCTAATTTTGTTCTTTAGTTTCCCTTTGAAAAACTTTTCAATTGGGTGTACTGATATGTGATTGAAAATCAGTATCTTATTTCATATCTTTGCATTCCTATGTTTTTCTTAACATATGGAAGAGGTTAGTTATGGTACCAACGTTGGTACAGTAATTACAAGTAGCGATTGGCCTTTTAGAACTTTACAATATAATCTCCCCTAGAAAAAAAATCTGAGTCCCCAAACGCTCAGTAGATGACTGTTATGTGTTATCCAGTTGTTGATCTTTTCAATCTTATAAGTATGGAAAATAGTCCCAAATTAATGCCTTTTTGTATTGTGGGTTTGACCAACATTTTTTCTTGCTGGATAGCAAACTAATAAATTGGGCTTTGCTGTCTGGAGTAGGGTGAAAACCATGGTGCTGGGGAGTAGGCCAAATATGTGTCGAACTTTTTCATCACAGAGACAAGAGACTCGCTATTTGAAGTCAAAATCTTAATACTTGGGGACCAAACCCAATTTTCAACAACCACCGGGCCATTTGAAGGCGTTGCTAGATGTATACCTTTATCCTACTTTGGTGATACACGAAATAATCACCTGGAATAAAGTGAGAGCAGTAATAACTCCACTAGGAAACATGGAAGTAGATAGTTGGGAGTTATAAGTTGCAGTTCACCCAGAGACGGATGCAATTCCTAATATGGAGATTCGAGAAAGGGAACCGTTATTTGTGAAGGGGACAAGAGAAAGAAAAATGCAAGCAACCATAGAGAACAAGCTTTCTGGAGAAGATATCTTGTCTTGTTTTTTGGAATGGCGTGTACCGTTGTGTATGACACTTGAAGGAATGAATGCATATGATGGAAAAACTACTGAAAAACTGGTAAAAGAGCAGATACCCCCATATGCATCTCATTTACTTTTATGCTCACATTCTTGCTGCAATATCCTTGTGTAAAACTGACATGAATAAAACTTTCTTCTTCTTAACCAATTCAGTTACTCTCTTCTGAGCTTGTAACTGTTTAATTGTGCCCTTAGATACAATATAGTACACGTACCCATTTTTTTGCAACGCTTTTCTTACCTTTGCTGATGCTACTGTTCCCTTAAATTAGTAAGCTCATGGTTAGTCTCCCCTGAGAGACTGAATGGTAGACTATGTGATGCTCACGAACAAGGAATTAATGCTTTCAGTATGTTTTTTGTAGACTGTCATCATATTTGGATGAATGATCCTTCTAAACATTTCTGCCTGGTATGTGTAATCTGTTGAGGAAGATTATCCCCCAATGTTTTAGCATACTGTGGACTATAGACAAAACCACCATTATTTAAGTGCTTACTAAATAATGGGAAACGAATGAACAGAAATGTCCAATGGATGAGCCCAGTGCTACACTCTCCTTTCTTGGCCATTCAGTCTGAGAAGAACATTTTCTTGCTTGAATGGCAAGGAATAGAGGATTCCCATTTCTTCTGTCTGTGAGAACTTATATGACTATATACAACTCTAAATTGTGCCCAGTTCCATATATAGTTGATGTTTGTTGTGGTCCTTACTACTGATTTTCTTCTCATCATTATATTGTGGTTATCTATATGATCAATCCAGTGAAACATCTTTCCAGAGGCAAAGTGGGACATAGATAGCAACATTTTTCTCTCTGAGTGCCAGTTTGAAATGTTTGAGCACATGTACCGTACATCTGCATAATCTATTGTTTCTGGAGGGCACCGTTATGCTATTCTAGTTAAATCGATTACTATGTTGCTTTTACTTGAAAAGCATAGTATTCCAACCTAAAATAATGTAATACAAAGGTTATTATGCAGCAATAAACGGCGTATGAGTAGAAAATGTTTAAACTAAATCGGTAAGTCCAAATGTATAGGAGTCATTAAGATAAATACCGTGGGGTTGATTAAGGAGTTTGTTTTGAGGATGTAAAAGCCTGATTCGCGTAGTAGGAGTTGAGATAAAAGCTAAATCGGTATGCACAACCTTTTAAGTCCTATTCTCTGGCATCAATTAATGGACTTTCTTTTTTAGCTTTGTAATTAGGGTCTCCTTTTCTCATTCCTGTTCTATCTTTGTACATAGAAGTAAGAATTTGGGATCTTGTTCCCTGTTGAATCAGTTTTGCAGTCAATGGATCAAGATGCCAGAAAAGAGCTCACCCCAATAAAGCTGAGAAAGAAAGCAGCTAAATTTGCCAGGGATACTGTTGCCACCCAGATGAAGTCTTTTAAGGTTTTTTAACATTTCCTCTGTTCTATGAACGTCGGTACTCCATTTTGAAATAGAATCACGAAATTTCTTTCCTTGGGCCAATCTTTTTGATTTCTTCTTTTCAAAATCCTTGTTCAATTATATCTAATTATAACTAATCTTGGATACGTTTTTAATGTTTTCAGCGGTATGGAATATGGGCAGACTGGAATAACCCTTATTTAACACTTGCTCCAGAATATGAAGCCGCTCAGGTTATTCCACAACCTATATCCATCCTGAGGATGGTCTGTTTTCCCCTCCCTTTACTTCTATTTAATTATCGACGCAAATGCCTTCCTTTTCTCTAGGGCTGAGGTATTTACACGAAAAAGTTCCCATGTTGATCTACTTTATCCCTATAACATTCATGTATAGTTTTTGGGTCAAGGCTCATTCAAATCAATTATTTTTCTGCATTACTTAGCCTTTTTCAGTGCTAATCCGCTAAGAAATCTTCATTCATTGTGGACTGTAACCCATCTGTGGATGACTTGGATCGGCTTTGCCATTTTAAGAGATGCTGATCCTTAAAGTCGGAAAACATCAGCTATTGCTTGAAGTAATGACCTTCTGTTCCTCTGATTCTTCTATTGCTAGATAGAAGTATTCGGGCAGATGGCTTTGCAAGGATATATCTACAGGGGTAGAAAACCTGTTCACTGGAGTCCATCTTCACGGACTGCACTTGCTGAAGCGGAGTTGGAGGTAAACCTGATTCTTGAGTTGAAACTTTGTTTTGGCCCCCAATCATTGTTAGAAGTTTCATGTTTCAGTTTCGTAAAGCCGAAAAGAGTATTCAAGCTAATTCCTGAATATACAATCCTGTGTTGATTTTGCCTCTACGACAATTCTGCCTTCTTCATGTTGTTGGCAGAATACTATGAGGTTCTATTCTAATATATAAGTTATTGTGGATATGGTACCAATAACGTCATTCACTTATGAGGCTCACAAAATTAGCTTTGCACAAATTCTCTTTCGTTTTATAGTGATTGTTATCAGTTTTTAGTTTTATTGTGATTTGTGCTCTGCAGTACCCTGAAGGACACACTTCAAAGAGTATCTATGTCATTCTCAAATTGGTCAATTCACCACCAGATTCATCTGCGCTATTGACGGAATTTTTTCCACATTTGTTTCTGGCAATATGGACTACGACTCCTTGGACTATTCCAGCGAATGCTGGTAAGCCTTCTATTAATTATCTTCTTAGTTTAATTTTTTAGTTGCGAATATACTGTGTAACTTGTCTGGATCTATTTTTACATCTGGGTCTGGAAAGTCAATGGATGACAGCCGTGTGATTCTAGTTTTCATTCCCTCAAGATGCAAACATAACAAGCAGACAATTGTTTAAGAGTGTATGTATTTTTGGATATGTCCATTTCTTTGTCGTGCGATGATTTTTTGCCTCTATCTAAAATGTGCTTTTGTATATGATACTTGAATAGATTGGCTGTGAGACCATTCGGTACATTCATTACTGATATGGAATGATTGGAACTGTTCCTCTAAGTTTGTCCTAAAAGTCCTAATATCTCACTGGTCCTAATTCATTCCTATGGTGAAATTTTTGTCATTCCTTTCCTAATTCTCTACTATCATAATATTTTCGATAGTTAATCATCCTATCTTATTTTTAAGAAATTAAATGGCCACGGAACTACCTGTCATTAATTTATTGAATCTGACATGCACAATTAGCTGCTTCCAAAAATGGTAGTGAGTGATAAATATGTCAATTAGCCAGAAGTAGAGTGCTTTTATTAGAGGTTGTCAAATAGACAACATGCTTTGATAGCATGTGAATGCATACATGCTATAGAAACCCAAAGGCTTAAAGAACATGTCCTCAGGATGGACTTTGAAATGACTCAGGGCATAGTGAGATTGAATTGCTTGCTTAATATGCTAGATTTGACAGCTGATGGATATACTTTTGCTGGAAAAATCATCACAGTGGGCTTTGTTCTGTTGAAGATGGTTTACTGCTGATTTTGTTGTTTATTGATGCTCATCAATTTAATCCTCTTGAAAGGACGCTTGATCTTCATCTCTGCCCCTCATTTTTTTTAGAATGCTTTTCTGAGGTGAAAGTCATCAAATTGCCTGGTAAATTATGGTACCTAATTTTGTGCTGATTCTATAACAGTTTGTAATATATGACTTTTTAAGACTTCTCTTTGCCTCAATTCAGCATCTTACGATCCTCAGTTCATATTTATTTTCACTCTTTTGCAATGGTGGAAATTGTTATGTTTTAGGGCACAACAAGCTTTTGACTACAAGAGAACTTAGAAACTAGGAGCATGATTCGATGCCTCTCACAGTTTTGTTATTTGGAAAAGGGTCATGCATAAGGAGACTCATATAGACATTAGAAAATTTTGCTCTTCCCGAAATTCAGAGTTATTTCGATCCCTCTCATATGTTCTCATTATTATTAAAGCAAAAACATTTCCTGCTTCCTCCCATCTCTCATCTCCACCATGACATACTGGACAATCCATGTGACTGCTGCCACAGGTCGTGGATGGAAGGTCCAGGGGACAATACCATCTGAACAGATAGTTGAGAGAACGAAAGAAAATTCTTTACTCGTGAAATATTTTCATGTATGATTTCCTCTTTTTATTTCATTCCAAGGAATGTTGCTGATGGTAGTCATTGGTTATGATGCTTGTCTGACTTCTTTGTTTATTTTGTCATGCTTCAGCTGTTGCTGTGAATGCTCAGCTGACATATGCGATAGTGGAAGTACAGTCTGTTGAAAAGGAATCTATATCTCAAGAAAGCAGACTGAAGGTGGGCAATGTTTTGAAAGGTGGCAATCAGAAACTTTTTCTGGTTGTTGCATCAGAACTTGTGCCCACACTTCAATCAAAGTGGGGGGTGAAGCTTGTGGTCAAGAAAACTTTTCTTGGTTCAGCTTTAGAAAATAGCAGGTTAGACTTTGGAAGTTAAATATATGACGTTTATATTATCAAGCTAGTGAGTTTTTGACGCGTACTGTCTATCATGGCAACTTATGAACATCTACTCTTATGTTTTGGTGATAGAAAATATATGTAACTATTTAAAATGATTTATCAAATTCCATATGACATCTCGACTGCTCGAATGGAGCCCTTTGATTGATCTTATTGGTAATGGGATGGTGTGCTATCATGATGTGACTATAAAACTACCTTCGTTTACAGTCCAAGGAAAAGGACTGTCTCTAAAACTACCTTCGTTTACAATATGCAGGTATATTCACCCCATTGATGAGAGGGAATGCCCTGTTGTCATTGGAGGAGACTATATCACAACTGAATCTGGAACAGGACTTGTTCATACTGCCCCTGGACATGGTCAAGAAGATTATGTTACTGGTCTGAAATATGGATTGCCTATTCTTTCTCCAGTTGATGATCTTGGGAAATTCACTGAAGAAGCTGGGGGTTTTAGCGGCTTGGATGTTCTTGGTGATGGAAACGCTGCGGTGGTGAAATTTTTGGACGAGAAACTGTCCATTATTTTGGAAGAACCATATAGTAAGTTGATAATGTTTATGTAAACTCATTCACCTAGTTTTCTATTTCTGCTTATGCTTATAATGCTCAAGATTTGGATCTCGTTCTGTTCCAATATGTCATGTTCTTAGAACACAAGTACCCTTATGACTGGAGAACTAAGAAGCCAACAATATTTAGAGCGACGGAACAATGGTTTGCTTCAGTGGAAGGATTCCGTAAGCTTGCTTTGGATGCAATTAATGAAGTCACGTGGATTCCGCAGCAGGTACTTGCTGCCTCAACCTGATATTGACATTCAGATGTTTTTAAAAGGCTAAAGTTTATTTGGAACTTTTTAGCTGGTATTTAAGTCATTATCGCAGATACTCTGAATCCTAAGCCCCTCAACTATTTAATCTTTGCAACATGGATATAAATGCACTAATCTTGCGTGAACTGTCATCATTATGAATTCCACGCTGTCTCTGTTCTTCAATGGATGATTGCGAAACTGAACTGAGTCCAGAAATATTGGTGAAGCACAGAAAACATTCGTTCGGATTCCCGGAAGAAATACCAATGTGGCCCTTTGACCTCTTAATCGCTCACTGTCAAGGATACTAAATCGGCAAACCATGGTAGCCTAAAAACTCTCAAACTACTAAATCAACTCGACGAACTACTTCCAATGATCTCATGACTGTTGACTTCGGAAAACAGTCATATGAGGAGGGAAGGACGGAAATTCGGTACAGGGTTTAGATATACTTACTTCCTGTAGGGATCATTTTCAAATGTTTTGCTTTTTTTGAGCTTCTTAGTAGGTTACGAGGACATCATTTTCATCAAACACATGATAAATCTGATAAACTGAGCAGTCAAACTATCACGTTTGCTTCTCAAAGCTATTTGGGAAATGGTTTCTGTAACTCATAATGTCGGTAACTTTTGTATGTTGACTTAAAGTTTGATTCACCTTTCTTAATTGCTTTCGTAAATCCATTGGAGTGTGGCCTGCTTAGATTGCTTCACTGCCTGGACTCTGTGTCGTTTATATTATTTATCGGCTGTCATTTGCAGGCACAGAATAGAATAACTGCAATGACTTCCAGCCGATCTGATTGGTGTATTTCTCGGCAAAGGACGTGGGGTGTCCCTATTCCAGTTTTCTATCATGTGACGACAAAGAAACCACTTATAAATGAAGAGACAATCAATCATGTAAAATGTAAGAAGTTTCTTACTGCAATAAAATCATTTTTCTTCTACTTTTCCGACTCTATCAGAGAAGAAAGTTAAAGACGCATTTTATACTTGGTAGATCTGCATCTTCCTTCAGATTTGGGTAGCATTCTGATTTTATGGAATGTATTAATTGCACAACCAGAGACTTAGAATATGTAAAATGATGATTTTGTTGTTTTCATGGACGGTTCTTTTCTTTAATTTTCTGAGATAATCATGGACGTGATACTCTTGCAGAAATTTTGTGATAGAACCATGAATCTTTTTGTATTCTTATCTTTACCAATGCTTCCCTGGATTTTCTATTTTCTATGCTGTTCTTTATCAAATAGTTTGATATAGATCAGTCAAAGTAGAGTTCTAGAAGGCTTGATGACAGATGTATTGGATGGATCTGAACTTCTATCACTTCGACCAGATTTGCAGTGTCAGTCAACGGAGAGTCACATAAATTATCACAGGATTTGACATATCTAGGACAAGGTGGCCCCTTTCTCCGCTCTTATCTATTCTTGTTATTGAGATGTTGAGGAAAATATGGTTGATGGTTCAAGTTTTAGGATTGCTAAGAGACTTTATCTAGATGGCCAAGGTCTTCAGGTGGGTGACTCACCTTCAATATGGCGATGGTTTTTAGACAGAGTGTAGGAAGGTATATATGGCTAGGTTTTTGCTGGAATTCCTTTAGAAGTTCAATGCAAAGCAGCTTACTTTTCAGACGATTGTGAGTATAGGTATGAACACCAGGGAGTAGGAAAGTAAGGAGAGCAGATGTGAAGTCTACTATGAAGAATGGTTAAAAATATCTTAAATATGTTGCTTATTGAGGATAGCCTCTACATTATGTTTTCCTTTGTTTTGGTAGTCAATCCGTCAACTATTAGCAATTTTCGTTTGCACATGGCTGAAGGTGTAGAATATCATTACAGATTTCCATGAGGGCATGACCAGTATTTCAATGTAAGATATGACAACAGTGGAGCTTACGCACACAACACAGCACACACACACACACACCACACACACACACACACACACATCTGCATCTACTCATTTTTGTGTGAGATGGTAGTCAATAAAACTGTAATCTAGGTCAATTCGGTTGGCTTCTGATCTCCGGAGAATTTTCCATTCTTAAATTTGAGTAGTTATCAGGATGTTTATGAAATAAATTGATTGTTGGGCTTCTCATATTTTTTTCCTTCCCAGCTGATGGTATCTGGCACAACAATTCAGAGGTGGTGTTGGCTGAAAGTCAACATGAATTTATTTTGAAATCTACAAGCTGTTGAAACTGATTGACGTGGTGTGAGTTGTTGACGATCATGACGACAATGAGTTAATGACATACTTGAACTCGTGAGATTGTGATTCCTTTGGTCCCAAACATGGTAGTTCCGAATGTGTACCATACGTCGAAATATGCATTTTGGAATCCATGGCCGAGCATAGAGTGCAAGAAAATTAGATCTTATGTTTGGACTGATACTTTATATTTTTTTTTTACAGAAATACTGTTGTGTGACATCATATTTACGTTTTCATCTGTCAATTCGGTGATGTTAGTTCTGAATTGGTGATTTTCTTTACTTACATCTTTAAGTTACGATTGTGAGCATATTCTCTTTTTTCAGCCGTCGTATCCGAAAAGGGTGCTGATGCATGGTGGTATATGACAAAAGAGGACCTTCTTCCTGATAAATATCGGCATCAAGCTTCGGAGTATGAAAAAGGAACTGATACCATGGATGTATGGTTTGATTCTGGTACGTGAGTGCATCTGTTGAACCATGATATTTACTATTGCGAGCACTATAATGGATCTCTTATCATAAAACCGTGTAAATCATATAGAACTGAAAAAAATTCTCAAGTTAGGAGATAAAAAATGTTAGTCATCTTAATTCTGAAATGCTGATACAGTTCTGGTTAAAACCTGTTTTTTCTTTTTTCAATCTAGAAAATTTATTTTGCCATTATTTGTTACATTGGCGGTGAATTTGAAAATGCCATTTTCTTCTTTTGGAACGTATTATGAATGATAGTAAGCTTTTTGGATAGATTGTTTATGGTTACAAGGTAAATACTAAATATTTCATTCGGATACATTTTACACTTTCCTCATCAATTGAGACCTTGCTTCTTTCCTTTTCTGTTTCTTAGTGGAATGCTTTGGAAATTGAAATATTGTTTTGTACTTTGGTTGGAGCTGTTATACCTCATTTCTTTATTTTCCCCATAGTGATTGTAATATATTATGCCATCATGCTGTTTTCAAAGTAAATTTGAAGTCCTTTTTTGTCAGCAACGTCCCATCCGTATTATTTGATCCCTTTCAGCTTGTGAATGAAATGTAAAAGGACGTCAACTATTGGTAGTCAAGAAAAGGCCAAAAGATACAGCTAAAGCCACCGCGTTGATTAATTGATTTATATATTTTTGGGGGTGAGGTTGTCTGGCCATCTTCATATCGTATTTTGTTGCATAAGTCGCCATAGCAGATGATGATAGTCTTGGAAATGCATCTTTGTCGTACATTTTTCGTGTTCCTTGGTAGATTTATTTGTTTTACAACTGATGAATTAATGCCCGGAAGACCTATGGCCAAGCTTATTCTTTGTTCTTATATTTGTAGGCTCTTCATGGGCCGCTGTCTTGGGAAAAAGGGAAGAACTCCATTTTCCTGCAGATTTGTATCTTGAGGGTACAGATCAACATCGTGGATGGTTTCAGAGTTCCTTGTTAACCAGTGTTGCCGTGAAAGGTAACTTTTCTGGAGTCAATTTTTGCTGGATTTGATTTCCCTTCTTTCATGAAATTTCCAATGATTTCATGTTATATTCTTTTTATTGCGTCAAGTTTAAATCATCACCCACAATCTAAGCTTCATCCTAGATTTGAGAAACATTTGGTGGGTAGTGCCGTAATCTGATAGAAATACTTCTAAATCCCTGTACTACTCCCTGCTTCTGCACACTTTTCTGTTTTACCCTTCGTTGAAATAGTTACCTATTCTAAAGAAAGCATATCTGATTGATGTGATTGTTTTTTCCATCCGTCTGTGAAAATGGAGGACTGAAAGTATAGTATAGGAGGATTTGAATTCAGTCAGAAAGTATTTATCTCTGCCCTGTTGTTTATTCATCTTTTTTACCAATCCTCTTGATTGGTTTTGTATTTGAATTCTTGTTGGTGCGAATTCATTCCTCTTGTTTTATTGAATCTGCTGATGTTGAAGATATTAACTACCTAAATTAGGTAGTTTGTATTTCGCCAGTCTTTTAAATTTTTCATTTAATAAGGCAATCCCCTTTATACTGTTCAGACATGTTCCATCTCAAATGGCGAACGGTGCAGTGCCCTTATGGGCGTAGGCCCATGCTTCCCTCAATGTCATCTTTATCATATCTAGATGAAACGTATGTAACGCCTGTGAGAACATTTTAGGGGGTGGGGTGCTGAAGCATTCAAACTACGTTTGATTGCTTCTGACCCAAAGAAAACTTTAGATTCTTGGATTGTGATTTTCTGTAAATAGATAAATTCTGTTTTATGGAAAATATGAACTGTTTCTTGAGCAGCATCGCTGAAATATCTTTGAATATTTGAGAAATGAGGATATGAAATTTGATCAATCATTTTTTTTTTCTTCCCAGGAAAAGCTCCATATTCGTCTGTAATAACACATGGATTCGTATTAGATGAGAAGGGTATGAAAATGAGCAAATCTGTTGGTAATGTTGTGGATCCCGAGAATGTTATCTCAGGAGGGAAAAATCAGAAGGTATGATATAAAAAAAAATCCTCCATTTGATCTATAATACATTTCATATCATTATACCTTTGTTTCTTCTTTGGCAGGATGAACCTGGTTATGGAGCTGATGTCCTTAGGCTCTGGGTTTCTAGTGTAGATTACAGTGGCGATGTCCTGATTGGGCCTCAGGTCCTTCGTCAGATGTCTGACATATATAGAAAGTTGCGAGGAACGCTACGATATCTATTATCAAACCTGCACGACTGGACGGTATATCACATTTAGCATGACTTATTATTTTCCATGTGCAATGCATTGCTCCATCTTCTGCTTGATTTGTTTGCTTTCTCCACCATTTCTTTTTCTGGTGGTTCTATGAGGGTTAGTGGCAAACATCTTCACAGCGGCACATTTCTGAGAGTGATTGATAATCTCCTTTTATAGGAGATTGATACACAAGGTAACAATTCAATTAGTACAGGAAAATAAGAAAGTCAAAGGCTTTAAAAGGGCAAATGGTGGGTCATTAGTATGGTTTGAAGAGTAATGATGGGTCGTAAGTTTTATATAGTTTCCTGTCCATTTGGTGGTCAAATTCTTATGATTCCGCTGTGTTCTTTGTAGCCGGAATACGCCGTCTCATACGATGATCTTCCCAAGATCGACAAATTCGCTTTATTCCAGCTGGAAAATGTGGTAAATGCCATCAAGGAGAGTTATGAGACTTACCAGTTCTACAAGATATTCCAGGTATTACTGCCATTATCTTGAAAAAAAATGATCCAATGTAAATATTGAAAGAAATAGCTTAGTTGATTGGAGATGCCGCAAATAGTTTCACTCATCTTTTTAAAGTATTTCTGGAGTGATTATTGGATCATCAGCCTCCTGCATCACTATCTCCAGCAGGAGGATGAGCTAGAATCTGCCCTCCCCTCTTCATTAAAATGGGCCAATGATTTATATTGATATATTTTTCTTTCAGATCATGCAGCGATTTGCCATCGTTGATCTGTCAAATTTTTATTTTGATGTCGCCAAAGATCGGCTATACGTCGGGTATGGAGTTAATATCATTTTATTTATTTTATTTCATTTTTATCTTGAGAAAAAATAATTTTTAAAAAAATATATATGCTGTGTTTCTGCTCTCATCCTGGTAGTTCCTATCATGGGTCTTAGATGACCCCTGTTTTATTCATATGATTTCTGACAAAAATAGCAATTCAGGGGCACAGCGGGGTTCACCCGGCGGAGCTGCCAAACTGTTCTTGCTGCTCACCTTCTGAAGATAACGAGGGTAATCGCTCCGATTCTGCCCCACTTGGCCGAGGATGCCTGGCAGAATCTCCCCTTCGAGCATACCACCGTCGGCGGCTCTGCCACCAGATTTGTCTTTGAATCCAAGTGGCCAGATTCCAACGATCAGTGGCTCGCAGTCCCCGTGGAAGATATCGATTTCTGGAGGAAAATTCTCGAGGTATTTATTTATATTTTTATGCAATTCATGCCATTTTCAGGGGGAGGTGAAAAAAAATCCATGCGTTTTATGCCAAAAATGGGAATCATTTGATCATCCGATTTATGTGTTTAGATATATACATAAAGAGAGAGAGAGAGAGAGAGAGAGAGAGAGAGAGAGAGAGGTGCATATTTATGTATTTCCGTCCTGATTTTAATTATTATTTGGCTCATATCCTGGTAAGTCTGACATATATCTACCCTCCGCCGGCAGCTGAGATCGGAGGTCAACAAGGTTCTAGAGACCGCCCGCGTTGGGAAGCTGATCGGCTCGAGCTTGGAAGCCAGGGTCCATCTCTACACCGAGGACGCCGCCATGGCGTCCAGACTTCGGGAGCTCTGCGAAGCCAAGAACGACGCCGACGCGTTGACCCGCATCTTCATCACCTCTCAGGTCTCCCCACTCACAGTCAACTCACCTCAGGGCTTGAGGTTCCCTTCTGCTGCTGACGACGGGTCGTTGACTTCTGCCCGCCGCAGGTGGAGATCCTGTCGTCTCTGGCCGGGAGCGACGAGATTCCGTGCACCGGGGAGCTCGTGGGAGAAGGTCAACGGATCTGGATAGGGGTCTCCCGCGCCGTCGGGACTAAGTGCGAGAGGTGCTGGAACTACTCCCCCAAAGTCGGCTCCTTCGTTGGCCACCCCACGCTCTGCGAACGCTGCTACGACGTCATCGAGGGCCCCCTCCCCGTCGGAGCCATGGCGGAGGTCAGCTGACCTTATCGCCGCCGGATGGTCGCGCCTCCACGAAAAAAAACCATTTTTCCTCCAATTTTCGGGGGATGGAAAGAAACCCATCAAATTATCGTTAATTTCTTTGAGTCATTCATCAATACCTGTAATTATAACAGAAATAATCCGTTTATTATTTATTATTTTGTCTTCAGACTATTTGGGTCAACGGTTGGCGGCAGTTAATGGGCTGGATAATGAAATGGGCCCCCGATTCTCTATTGGGCTGGCGTCTGGAGGCTCACTGGTTAGTCGCCCACGTGTGTATAACGGTCGCCGGAAGGGATGGCCCGGATACTGTGGCGCCCCGAAGCGGCCGCTCAGATCTTTCAGAGATCGTTTTGAATCCCAAATTGGACGGTCAGGATTACTTCACCTTCCCGCCGTCTTCCCCTTCGTAAGTTTTCAAGCAGTATAAACGGAACCCCTCCGAGGCGATCGGCGGCGGGGTCTCCTGCACTCTGATGAAGGTCTCTTCTGCCATCGAGATGACTTCCTAAGCGAGGAAATGGTAGGACAGCTCTCTGCTTCTCCCTCCTCGATCGTAACTTCTCGCCGAACGCCGCCGTGGAGCGTAATCTGTGGTTTCTCTCTGTGATGGATCTTCAGGCGAAGCCGAGGAAGATGAAGAAACCCCGTTGGCTCTCTCTGCTCCTGAGGTCGACGTTCTTCGGCCTTTGCCAGCACCACGGGGAGTTGAAGAAGAGCGAGGTCAACACGTACTGCCTGGATTGTGGAAAGTCCATGTGCCTTCACTGCTGGTCGTCTCTCTCGTCGGCCCCGGAGAATCCCCACGACGGGCACAAGTTCCTCCAGATCCGTCGCTACGTCTACCAGGACGTCATCCGCGTCAGCGACCTGCAGAAGTACGTGGATTGCTCCAAAGTCCAGGTACTGCTCTCGGTTTGATCTGGTCTTGTTCGTGCAAGAAATCCTTCGGGACCTTGTGATGGAGTTCTGAGTTCTTTGCGGTTTGATCGGGCAGTCGTTTATCGTGAACGGGGCCAAGGTTGTGTTGCTGAACCCTAAAAGGCAGACAAAATCCGCGACTCCGGCGAGCAATGGACTATCTCCCTGCGGAATCTGCCGGAGGATGATCCCGGAGCCGAATCGATACTGCTCGATCGCCTGCAAGGTGAGAAGAAATCTCTCTCCTCCCTCCAGCGATGCTTCAAGAAGAAAACACAGACGAAATCCAGTCTCGAATTAGAAATCGCCACTTTCGACGATATTCTCCATTCGTCCCTCCCTTATTTCTTCTCTCCTTGCGTTCTTCCTCTTTCCCGTCGTCATATCGATCTCCTGATCGGATCTTTCGGGAAATATGTTGCAGGCGGCGGCGATGGAAGGCGAAAACGACTCCTCCGAGCCAAAGCCGTCCATGTCCCCCGAAAACTCCGAGCTCGAGGACTCCCCTTCATCTCCACTGGAGGGCGGCGCCTCCTCCGCCGTCGTCTGCTACCGGCCGCCACCTTCTTCTCCGTCCAGCCTCGACCAGGACCGCACGAGGCCAGCCCCTCCGGAATCCTCGGCAGGAAGGAGACTGAGCAAGAGGAAGGGGATACCCGAGAGGGCCAGATTCTTCTGACCTACCCTCCTCCGCTCCTCTTCCCCATCTACCGATTCTTCCTGTAACACTACTACCATGGCATTCATCCGTCCTCTCGTCCTCCCCCTGTGATGCTATCTTTGTCACGATGCTTCGGCGCTGTTCTTTCTACTTGGGTGCGGCCATTATTGAAGAAAAAGCATCCACAGGGAGGAATCTGCCTCCTTGCTTTTGATATTCTGAAGCCATCGTCAGCGGATCCCACCTTCCTCTTTTCCGCGGATGAGCAAGCAGATCTCCTTTTCAGCCGCCAGCCGCCTTCCCAGGTCCGCCTTTCTCTCTCCTCTCTCCTCCGCCCACCTTCCGTTCTTGGGGCCTGCCGTTCAAGTACGATTCTTTTCCGAACAGAAACCCTCATTCCTCGGCTCTGGTAGGTCTGCTGGCGTCAGCAACGAGGACTCTTTGTCTGTGTGTGTGTGTGTGTCTCTCTCTCTCTAGAGACCATCGGTTTAGTCAACCGTGCGATCGCTGTGCGTTCTGGCGCCGAGCGGGCGGATCTTCTGTACGGATTTTCAGCTTGGTTACCATGGAATGTTTCCAACGTGTTAAATATAGCAAGATTATAAACAGCAAGGTGTTAAATGTGACAAATAATCCTCATTTTTTAGAGATCATTGATTCAGTCAACACTTGCCGCTGCAAAGCGATGAATATGCGAAGTGTTCTCTCTCTCTCTCTAGACCACTGATTCAGTCAACCGTGGGATCGCGGTGCGTTCTGGCGCTGGGCGGGCGGATCTTCTGTACGGATTTTCAGCTTGGTTTCCATGCACCATTAATTTAGTAGTCTCTGATCTCCGAAGAAATGTTATCGGTATTACATCATCTTCCTCAAAATGGCTGAATTAATGGTGATAAAAAAGCCCCATTTTTGCTAGATTAAGCAAACTCAAAGAATCTCCATCTGACCAAAGCTGGGTACTCCATCTTTTTCCTCAAAATCGATGAATTAATGGTGGAAAGAAAAAACCCATTTTTGCTAGATTCGGCAAAAATCAAAGAATCTCCATCTGAGCAACTGCCGCATTTTGGTGAGAAGATGGATGGACCTGACCTTTTTAACTTCTCGGATCCTTTACTAGATTGGGATATTCCAATTTTAAAACTGGAATAACCTCTGATTATTTATCGGGCTGTTTTTCTTCAGTCTTGGCATTACAATGAGATCGATTTTAATTATTTTAAAAAGGGTTGGTTATTATTTAGCCTGACTTTAAAAAGTTTTTATTCTCCCAAAAAACCCAAATGTACTTCTCTCTCTCTCTCTCTCTCTCTCTCTCTCTCTCTCTCCTAACACGCAGAGACAGTAACATTAGACAGAAAAATAACCTTTAATTTAATCAATAAGTGGGTATTATAATGTTTAAATAAAATGAATTAAAATAGGATTTTTGTTGAATCGTAGGTAGCACAGTGTTGAACGGCTAAGAAGCGGATAATTCGTGGGGACAACAAAGCCCAAGAGAAGAAAGAACAATTTATCTACAACTCCACCAGTTTATGAGCTAAAAAAGTAAAATGCCCCAAAGAAAAATAAGCATAATTTTGACCTGATCCAGTGCCTTCCCAGTTTTTGATAGAGTCAAAACCCAAAAGTCAAGAATCGGTCTATCTTGCCATGCAGTCATCCCCCAAAGTCAACTCCGTGACAACACCCCGTCTCTCTCTCTCTCTCTCTCTCTCTCTCTCTCTCTAGCAGATATGTGCATGATGCGAGTCCAGAAATCCAGCGGTGTGGGCCAAGCATCATAATCATTATTACCTGTTTACATGGCGAAAATCCTCTTTGAAACCGGGTGATATTGTCTCTAATCCAAAGAGAAAGCTCCATCACAGTACCTGCCGAGGTTTTGACCACAAAAAAATTAGGTTGAATCAGAAGAACTGAGATCGTGACATAGAACACATGGACCCACTTCTCATCCGGTCGTCGATTACCAAAGCCCAAGAATTTATGGCACTGGGCAGACACCAGACTTGTCGGTTCTTATGGATTAGATTAGTCCAGTGAGCATGATATTTGGGAATAAAAGGAGAGATTACCGGTTGCTGAACTTCTCGACGGCATCAGATGCGAAGAGAATTGTCTCGTTGGCTTTATCTAACACCATGTAAAGCTCCTTGCCTCTTGACATGCGGGCGATGATCCAGGCATTATTCCTTGCCCTCACGCAAACTTCCACATCTTTTTCACGCTTAGAGTCGCTCCTTTCTGCCCTATTCTTCTCAAGATCGATCTCTTTTCTGAGCTTATTCAGGGCGAGCAGGGAGTCCTGTCAGAAATCAGAAGCGTTCCTCGGTGAGAAAGAAGATGAACCACAACAAAAGGGAGTAAAATCACTCTATTGTATACATCGCCAGCCAAGGAGATGTGAGAAATCATCTGCTCCTGGATTTGAAAAAACGATCATCACACAAAGAAAATGATAACGTCTTCAATCCGATGGCTCCAGAAGCTTTAAACGAAAGGTGGGTTTGGTTCAGTGGAGCTTCTTGACATTATGATGCCTTTCTAGCATTGACATTCAAAAGACATTGTATTATGGGCACAATCTAATGATAAGAATGATGACGAGTCGATCTCATGACGATATTGTGAGTATGCAGGAGGATGGCCAACCGTGTAGACGAGATCTGAAAGAGAGGAAGTGGCAGAGTCTGCGGAGATGCTGCTTGTAAAGTCTATAAAATGGAGCTTGCAGACCTTTTATTCTGACTGGTTCATCTTCACGCAGGATAATCCAAGCTTGACCAATCCTTTTTTTTTTTTTTTTTTTTTTTTTTTTGCTTTTGATGTTCCCCAAAAACATAGCACTATGCCTTTGTGCTTTCATTAACATGAATTTATTTTATGTTTACGTAACCGACTGTTTTATTTTTTTTGTTTCTGTAGTATCAGTCAGTTCCTGGAGACAAATGAACAATTGTGCGCATCTAATGAAGCTTGGGAGACAAAAGATGAAATTCGAGATCTGAGTAAAAATATTGATGGTAATACAAAATCCGGTCCTGCAAAATTAGATGCACTGGGTTCGATTATCAATCAACTCAAGCTACACCATCCAAGAAGAACAAGCAATAATGCCATTAATTTACGTACTTTTGTAAGAGTCGCAACTTTTCCTGGTGGCGATGCTCTGGATATATTATGATCCGTGTCCAAAAGTAAGTAGCGATAGCCCTTGACATGATTAGCATTTTCGCCGGGCCATCCTTTAGATAATCTTTCTTCAACCCTTACGATTTTCTGAGCAGCCTGAAAAATTAGGGAAGAACATAGTATCGTTTTCCTCCCAGCACAGCATTCAGAATGTAGGTGTGATAAGATAAAATTTTGTCGAAAAATCAAACCAGAGCAGGAAGCTAATCACCGTTTTTCTCTAAGAAAAACAGGCTTCAGGCACCACTTTACAACTGCCTGGTTACCACTCTCATGGAAAACCGCATGTTCATAAATTATGAATACATCTCTTAGCACAATCTCAGGAAGATGTTAATAAATTAGCACATAGACGGAAAACTATGTATATCATGAAAATAATCAAGGTGACCAGGCTTATATGACGATGAACACACCAGGGTAGCTAACACGTTTGGCACAATTGGTCAATATTGACCAGGATTTTCAATAATGAAACGAAAAACAGGGGCCATAAAATACAAAGCGAATATTGTTTGCGAATATGGGGCGATTTCATCAGTTCGCAACAGAAAATCGTGGATATGAGATCTCACTTGAGAGTTCTCCATCCATACGACGTTCCTTCAACGTGAAACGAAAAATGGAATCCACTTTCGTACAAGACAATATAAAAAACTTTGTAAGGGAAGGGGACCTACATTTTCGATAACTTGCTGCTTCAACATGGGCAAATCTTTTTCCCCATTGCTCAATGAATTGACAGGCACGAGTAGTACCACTGTCATACTCCTGTGCTGATATATGAGAAGAAACATGCGCTGCTCAGCTTGTTTTAGCCATACAGATGGGTTTGCAGCAATTGAACTGCCTGATTCTTTTAGCCAGATATCGGTGACAAGAAAACCGTCCTTACCCTTGGACCATTTTTCACGCTGTAAAGCCCTTGGAACATTGTAATTAGGGTCTTGATTTCCGGAGGAACTATCATTGGATCTGTGTTGATGGTCTTCTAAAGAAGCTGATGTGGTTGACAGTGGAGAGAGATTTGTGACATTAGGAGAAGGACCTCTACGCAAATAAGACCAAGAATTTGTACCCAAGGATAAAGCCTGTGGCGTCAACCTCATAACAGCATATGCAAACACGTTTACAGTGTCATCCTGGCAAATGAAAGTTACATGTTATTCAGCGAGATGCCGATGGTAATATTCAATATCATAATATTTATCAACGCATAGGATTCCATCTGCACATCAATATCTGTAGATGCACTACAAATAACAGGTAAAGGAGTTAGTAAAAGGAAATACAACCGTACAGGAGAAAGGGTTGACGACACCAGCAGGTTCTGAAATAAGACAAGCGAGCTGAACATGGCACTCCTTCCAGCACATGATTCTAAAACTGTAACGAGTGACTACAAGACAAGTTCTGTCAAGATCAATAAGAAACGATCTGATCGTGAAATTTAAGACATGAAAGAAATCTAATAAAAGCAAAAAAAAAAAAGAAAAAGAAAGAAAGACATGCAGACACATTTTAGAAAGGGGAAAACAAACAGAAGGATTATTTTTAGGTTCTAAATATGAATATTTTTTTTGTTGGCCACCATGCCAAATGGTCTTTTGTTTCCACTTTCCTCATCTCACAAATATTTTAAAAATCTTGGACAGCAATCTCGAATAATAGTCATGAAATCAAACGAATACCATCTGAAACACCAGGGTCTTACATTGCCTAGAAAGAGTTAGGAACTGATCTTCTAGGGATTATTATCCACACAAGATGTACTGCTAAATATAACTTGTCAACGAAGCCTTCGTCAAAAATCACCAACAATTGTCAACAGCACATGTACAATTCGCTATTTATGTATCTAGGCATATCTATTGATATCACCTAATTTATTCCCTTATTTAGCCATGTATTTTGGAATAATAAGCTCTATGCAAACCCACAGTTTAGTATTGGGAGGAGCATTTTTTTCCAAAATTTAAGGGATAAATTGTGCACCATCACACGATTAAGCAGGTTATATGATGCACATTCTTTCCTCTATTGTAAGTTTTCTGTTTTATTTTTCTAAACGACTACGCTAATGTACAGAGAAATTCATCAAATCATTGAGAAGGCAACATGCTCCGAAACGTAAATGTTTAAGTTTAATCACACCTGAACTTCGATGGCTACTTCTCGTTCTATTGTCAACATTTGAATAGTTCCTCGCTCTCCCAGACTTTCACGGAAGGAAGGCAACTGGAATTTCTTTCCCACATGAAAATCTGCATAAGAATTTGGACATCAAAAAAGATGTTTTCTATGCTGCGATATTAGAACGAACAAAAGCATGAAAAAAATAATCATCATTGAAATATTTATTTATTTATTTGTGGACTGAAAAAGGCGTAGTGTTTCTCGTAAAGAGTAAAATTATAGAGTTTCAGGTTTAGTTAAGGCAACGGTAAAAAAATGAAACAAGTGATTTCATCCCTCAAGCTGCATTAAAAAATGTGCATAAGCACACAATTTTCACGCAGTAAAAACGAAATTATAAAGAATTTGAGCGGAAATATCCGTCATTTTCGTGGAACAATGTAAACGGAGCTATCATACCAGTCAAATAATCAGTGACGAAAGAATATAAATGACTCCTTGCAAGATCACCACTGGGCTGCTTATCAAGTAGAGACTGTAGAGGTCCATAAAACATCACAAAAAGGGAATGCACTTCCTTGAGGACAACCCGCAATCCATCACAGCGCCAAACATGCTCAGTGTCCTTATTCTTTTCAACTATCTAGGGTAAAATGAAAATATTTATAGTTAGAATTCAGAAAAATGCAGGATATCACGAGACTGTAGAATAAATAAAATTACAGAAATTCAGACGACTCAACCACAGACTTATGGCAGCAGAAAACCTTTCGACTATGAATGCATGGTTAATTAGTGACAGAGATCTGCACTATCATCCTTAATTCCAAAAATGTTAGGAGTCAATGGGAGTTTACAAGGTCAAAATATAACATTGCATCTGAGCCTGAATCTGAGAACCTTTCTTCTGCATCATATGAAGGGTGTCCCTGGGCTAGATTTGGATTTGGCTCAAATGGGTCACGGAATTTCAATACGACAAGCGCAAAAGTGCCACAACCTGAATCTGGGAATCAGTATCCCGGTGGAGGTTAATTTGGATCAGATACTTTGATGTACTGCTTCTGAACTGACGAAAAACTTAGTCTGAGAAAACAAATTAAGACAAAAAGGAAAACATGTACAGCCCATAAAAGCACTACCCATAGAAATGCTAGCAGGTAAGTGTGATGTAAAAAGCTGCATGAAGGATGCAACGAAGTACAATGTTACCCAAATTTAGTTATATGAATGATCAATAGTAAAGTATTGGTTACCATCCATATTCCAACCTCTCTAAGAAGCACTGATTCATTTTAAAAAAAAGGACTGAGCACATAGCATTTGACCTACTAATCAGTTAATACATTAACCTTAGGGGAGGAATCCATGAAAATACTTCTAATAAGAAATTTAGACATACCATCACCATCCATATATCTGGCTCAGCCTGATAAAACACATGGGTGTGTCTTTCCGCCTCTATAACTTCACAAGGTGCTTCCGGAGAGAAAATTCTGGATGAAAATAGTTAAATTTCTAAACGATTACTATACTCTAAGCATAAACAGAAATAGGGAAGAACGCCTTTATAATTTATGAATGACTGGAGCATTTATGGTTCTTCTTGGCAGAGTTGTGCAAAAGAAAACTTTCTTCAAGTGATACTAATATGAAAATGTACTTTTGAAAGGATGCTCATAGGTACCTTTTTCTTTTTGAAAAAAATAGTGAGATAAATTACTCACAAACTCTCGGCTCCCATATGAGATAGAAGGTGTATTTAAAATTTGACAGTGATACATTTTAATTGGTACACCCGGAGTTCCGTTTATAAATCAATCAGGAAATTCATCGATAGCTCATTTAATGGATTTGGCAAGATAACCTGTTGTATCTATTGGTGACCCTGAATCACTGGGGGTTAAGCCTGGGCCTGGCTTATCGTATATATATATATATATATATATATATATATATATATATATATATAGATAGATAGATAGATAGATAGATATTCTTAACCATGACTGACATGCACATGCCTCCACCAATTGAGTGTCATCAATTGGTCGAGTCACTGAGTTTTTTTTGAAAATGGATATTAATGCCTATGTATTAAAAATAAAGAAAGAAGAATATGCAAATATAGGGCCAATGAGCTCTTTAAAAGACTCTATAAAACATTTTTTAAGAATATATGTACGCGGAGACCTTGCAAGATTGACTAATGTTATGTACACGGATACCATTCTAGGGATCGATCCTTGCAAGATTGACTAACGTTATTCATCTTTAACGAAACGTAAAGAAGTAGCCAGCCTATCCAGTTGAACAATTCTAGTATCTAAAAATTCAGTCGCTCCATTCATTCCAAACATCATCTGACAAGCCATCAATTTTTTTTATCTCCGTTTTCAGGTATTCATAATCAGTGTTACACTACTACAAACTACAGCCCTCTAAATGGCATGGCAAAGATTGGGCCGCGGCCAGATGGGTAGATAAGATTAAGTTGATTGACCGTATTGATTGGATAACAATCAATTGACAATGAGCAGAGTAGGCCCATCTAAAATTATGAAGTAGGTATTTATCTTATTCAATACAGGAGTATTACTTAACAAGCTTAAAACCGAGGAGTTACAGTTATAATTTTTTCTGTCAACTTAATCATAAATTTTCTTTTGAAAATGTCAAAACGTCATTCTGCATGTAGATGGGCTTTTAGATTCCAATGTCATACCTAGATCTCTTTAAGCCCGATATTAGAAGGGCGAATGCATAAATATCAAAAATTTGGGCGTTATATCAGAAAGGAGTTAGAAAGGCATAGAGACGACTAATATCAATCCAAGACAGATTTCAATATTTAAATAGATAAAAAAACTTCTTACTCAACCTGTATAGGTTGATTTAATACGGTAAGTGCAACCTATAGGAAACGGAATATTATAGCTGGAACATGCCCTAGGCTTGCAAGCAACTCTCCCTCTCTCTCTCTCTCTCTCTCTTGCTGTTAATATAAGTGGAAAAAAATCACATGGCATTAATATTCTTGCCCTGCTAGTCAATGTAGTTGACTTCCCATCAAAACCATAGAAAAGTTTTTGCTGGCAGGGTCAGCTCATCAGAAACTTTGTTAAGATCAGATGGAACTACTGACCTTGTGAATGTGATGAGTCCTTCGCTAAGTCCAATTACAGAAAGCTGCACTGAATAAGGGCAATCAAAAGGAAAGAAGTATAATATCTTGTCAACTTCTTCTCCTTCGTGCTGACCCCTTTTCAAGTCAAAAACACAAAATTGGACCCCCTCATTGACAATCGTTCCAGATGATAAACCCATTTCAGATTTGTTATATACCTAAATCAGCACCAGAAGAAAGCAGAAAAAGAGGAAAATGGCGTAAGGAAGAGTATATCTGCTATTTACTAATACTATAAAATCATTTCAAAACATAAAAAGCTGCAAATCATAGAAAAAATCATGCATATCTCACACAGGTACTTATCATAAGAATGAAACTTACTTTTACTTTGATTGGTAGCAATTAAGTGATCACTCATAACTTCATACACAGCCCGATAAACAATACCCAGTCTTTAACCAAACAAACAAAACATCAGTACACTAGAAGGCACAAAAGATGGTTTTCGTATTTTTACAAATACACTAACGATTAAATGTATGGTTAGAAGAAATATAAAGTCATTATATGCATAAGTGATCCGCTGTTCTAGGAACTCACTCCTACCATTTTATGAGAACTTTCATCAGTATGGAAGTGGTGGCTGAGACAGACTAAGTGTAGGAACCACTTTTCCTTAGTTTTAGATTTTTCGTTTTCTTTCTTTCTGAACCATATATTATTGACTATATAACATAGATACAACTTTGATGCTTCCCTTATGTCTCTGAACGATGCGTGCTACTCATAGAGCATCAAAACATATAGATAAATCGATCATCCCCACAGGTGTAGGCGTTGGGGAAACAGCAATGGAGTGACGCAGACCTATTTTTATTGCAGCTGGTGAATGAAACAGGCGTCGTCAAAGCCCACAAGAAAACATATGATCCAATCAAACTACCAGGCAAGGAAGATAAACAGATAATCTCCAATTAAGGAGAAAATTTCACTGAAAAAAATCAAACAAGAAATTATAGAGCTAAAAAAGATAGAAAATGTCCACATGACGTTAATCTCCAAAAGGGAGATCTAACGAAAAAATATGAGGTGGCTGTACTCCGGGGCTGCACTTTGGTTACCTTGTAATTTACCGACAGCACTTTATATGCTCGTTTTACGTCGCAGTATATGCTTTTTTTTGTCTTTTCATACTGTCTCTTCACTGAGCAGCTTCGGCAGGCAACCCGCCTTGCCCGACCAGAAGCTAATTATTCGCCACCAGGATAATATCAAAAACCTAAGCCAAGGAATTTCTCCAATTTCGTTGGTATCAGGGAAGTGGATCGGCGGGGGGGAGGGGAGGTGGGGAGAGTCAGAGATTGTCCCCAAAGCTTGCCCACGTTGTATCGCTCCACAGGGTCAGTTCATCAAAATAGCAAATTGACCAGAATCGTCAACTCCCAACCCAGTTCTTATTCTCACAGTTCCGCATTCCAACCAACGACCATGATCGCAAACGAATCGAGCTCGGAGATAAACCAGGCCTTAAAAAAAAAGAACCTGGAAGCGGAGGGGGGCCAGATGAAGCGGGAAATAAGGGATTACCAGCCACAATTTCCGTCGATCTTCGTAACAATACTACCAGACGGTAGCCACGACGCTGCTCCAACAGATCATCATCTATAGCTTGAAGGCGGTGGGGTTGACGACGCGTTCGGATCCCACGATTTCCCGCGTCTTGCGAGAGAGAGAGAGAAGAGGGAAATCGAGGGGATTACTGTGACAATCGAGCGACGGGGGTCGGACAGAAGCTCAGCGCGAGAGAGAGATGAGAGAGAGAGTGTGTGAGAGAGAGAGTCAGGAGGCCGGAACTAACGGTCACTTCCAATGGGGCAGTGCCGTGAGACCCTTTTCGTACGATCGGACGAAATCACCCTCTTCCTCTTTCTTCTTCAGCAGGCGATCCGCACCTGGTCTACTCCGACCCGGCCCAACCGGGTTCTCTCCGAGTCCTCTCGGAAAGCCCAAAGAACCAACCTATCAAGGATCATATCCCATATATTCCCATATAAAAAAATATAAATGCAAAGGAATTAATTATTTAAAAACCCAATTTTATTTTTCATACTTGCAGATTTTCCCGCGTGAAAATCCCGCCCGCATTCACATAATATAATTTTCTCCTCAAATTATCTGCTTTTAATAAAAAAATAAATAAATTATTCTACCATTGAAAATTAATAAAATAAAATTTAAAATGCAACAGTATCTCATCTTCCACGGTGTATATTTTATGTATCTATTTTTTATTATTATTATTATCGGTGGTGTTTGAATCTCCCAGCGGATCAGGTTGATATCTTTGATTCTCAGTAGAATTGGCTCCCGCTGATCACCCACCCAAATGAACATGAAACATTGAATCGACTGCAAGAACTTGCAGGGAATTGAAGAAGGAGAAGAAGAAGAAGATGATGATGATGATGATGATCAGGAGAGCTGGAGAGCCTTGGCCAGGGCGTAGGCGGCGGCGGAGGCGATGGCCCCGATGAAGGCGGTCTGGAGGGCGCTGAGGAAGGGCCGGTTGCCGGTGAAACGCCCCTTGACGTACCCGAAGAAGAGCAGCGCAGCCAGGGTAACCGCCGCCGACGTGAGCATCGCCCTCCCCGCCGCCGGCACGAAGGCGTAGGGGGCCAGCGGCACCAGCCCGCCCACCACGTACGCCGCCGCTATCGTTGCCGCGCTCCTCACCGCCCTCCCCGGCTCCGGCTTCTCCAGCCCCAACTCGAACCTGCGGCGCCAACGGCGGCGGTGGTGGCGTCAACGGCGGGTCGAGAGGGGACAACTCCGGCGAACATGGGAGGCGGCTCACCTCATCATGAACTCGAGCCACGCCTGGGGGTCCCTGCGGAGGGCGTTGACCAGGGGTGCGTACTCGTGCGGTTCTAGCCCGTACTGCGACAGGATCTCCCCAATCTCCGCCGCCTCTGCCGCCGGCGGCCCGGTCAGATCGCCGCCATTCAAGCAGCTAATACTAAATAGGGAAGAGGAACGAACCCACCCGCCACCCACCTGTGTCGGGCACGCTGACGATCTCCTCCTGCTCCCTCCTCAGCTCCCGTTCGTAGTGGTCGGCCTCGCTCTTCGCCGCCAAGTACCTGCCCAAAACAGAGAGCTCTGTGAAGGGTGGTTTAGAGAGAGAGAGAGAGAGGGGAGGAAGGGGAGGAGTACCCGCCAAGGCCCATGGAGATGGCGCCGGCGGCCACCTCGGCGAGGCCGGCGGTGAGGATGATGGAGGAAGGGGCGGCGGCGCCGGAGAGGCCGGCGGCGAGGGCAAAGGGGACCGTGAGGCCATCGGAGACGCCGATGATGACGTCCCTCACCACCTCCCCAGCCGTGAAGTGCTTCTCCCTATGCTGCACCAGCAGCTTCTGCTGCGACACCAGCGGCGTCGTCATCCCGCTCCCCTCCGCCATTCCTCACCACCACCACACACACACACAGGCCGATGAGAGGCGAATAGGACAGTGGTGACACCCACCCTGCAACACAACCCAAACCGAGATTATATAACGCCGCTAGTGGGCCATCTCTGAGGATGGTTTCGCCTGAATTTACTACTTCTCCACTCTCTCTCCATCTCTGAAGAAGCTCAGCAGGATGGAGATGATGGGGCAGACGTCGAGGTGATCGCCTCGTCTAGCTTCTCCCAGAAATGCAAGGCAAAAAAGCTGCGGAACCCTCACGGATCTCCATCGCAGCTTTCAAGCTCTTACCCTCCTAGCTGGCAGCGAGGCGGCGGAATCTGCAGAGGGGGAGGAGGCCCCCGCCGCCAGCGAGGCCCGCGGGCGCTAACGAGAAGCGAACATCGTGCGGTTGAGCACACTATCTGACACCTGAAGATAGACGAGAGAAACAGAAGAGACAGACCCGTGGCTTCCAGCAGAAGTCACATGTTTCTGTTGGCCGCCACACAATCCTTCGGCTGCCATTTTCCACTTCAACGAGTCCCTGAGTCGGACAAAGCCCACAGCTTAAGTGTCAACATGGGGATGAGTTGTTAGCTGAAGCGGATAAGGTTGTTGGCTGTTGTTCTGGTGTCTTGATTCACATAATGTACCGCATGCCCTACTCCCTCTTACTAATTTGAATGCCTCAAATAATCTTTGTCTAATCCAATAATTCTGGTAGAATTAGTTGGACCAGGTACTTTTCTGTACTACTTATGCATGTCCTGATACTATGCACATAGTGGACCCTGATCATATTGATGTGTGGTTATCATATGCTCATATATTTGTAAAATCTAACATTTTCTTTCAAGTAGTAATCAATGAGATCTTTTAATTATCAAAAATTGACATCATACTCTCATCTCAAATCATCCTCTCAATTTTTGTAAAATTATTTATTATGGTTATTTTATTTTATTTTTGTCCTAAGATGGCTTCTACCACATCATGAAAGTGAGCAAAAACAAATAGAGGTGTTCATTGAGGATGGTTCATCCATACATTCACTTCATCCGCCTAATATGTTTTTAGGGGTGACATGTGAAAGACTGGTTGGAAGAAGATAGTTGCTCCATTTGACATTCTTGTACAAATGATTGTTCAACTATTGAACAAGTCAACTACAAATTGAAATTAATTCGACATCAATGCTGATCCATATTTTTTAATATATGTTTCATAACCTTCACCAATACCTCATGTGCTTCCCTTAAACATATCTACTATGCCCAAATAATTTGGTGTGTTGTTGCATAGTACACCAATCTACTTTACATCATCAACTCTTGAATGTGTGGCAACATTCAAGAGATCCACTTAATTATCTTGTTTTGTTGTGACGTAATGGTGGATATGTTTTTCCAACATATTATTGACATGGTTTTTCTGGCCATCTCAAGTAGATAGATTCTAGAATTTGAATGTGGTATCTCAATCATTGACAATGTCTCTCAACAGCCCTCAAAGCTTGACCACATTTACGATGAAGAACTGTATCAACTCCTCCATCCTATAGTTATAGCGAGTCTACATATATTTTTAAAATATCTAATAATAGCTCTTAATAGTTCCATGATGAAGGCTATTAAGATCGACTCCAATGATTTACTTTAACAAACAATGGTTTTAATGTGTCCACTATCTTTACACACTTCATCTTATTGGCACATCAAGCTAGTGACAACATGATAATGTACAATATAATCCTAGGTGTCCCACAAAGGGGACATCATGTGCCTCGTACAATAAATAGTCAACATAATTCACTTTTGCACAATCAGTGGCCATGGATAACATAATTTTCCATCTTCTACTGAAAAATGTCATGTCTCATTTGCAATCACTCACTACATTAAGCATGTATCTTTCTAATCCTCAATTTGTATGTTTTAGATTTTCTCTATGATTGAATCATCTATTGTAGATGGTGTTACGGACACTTCATTCTCATCTGGACTAAGAGCATCAACCACCATATTGGCTCGCCCTAATTTGTGTTTTATACGGAAGTTGTAATATGGTAGGAAATATTTTCATGTTACCTACTTTGACTAAAAAAAATTTACAGCTCAAAGTAGATGTAAAGATGCTGAATATATTATCAAGAAGATTGCATCACACACAAATATAGCGCACCATTGTAGTGCCATCTATTTCTAGTGGATGAAATATTATCACTCTATATTGTTCAACTTCTAGCTCTCATACATCATGTGTCCTTCATACATGAATGCCTAATTAATCAATAGATCAAAAGTGTTCAAGTGTACCCGAAAGGGTCATGTGAAGTTGTGTAATTTTAGTACTTATGTATTAGTACTATCAGACGTTGAGGTACTAAAGGAACTTTGTATTCACTCATTTAATGATATGTCATGCCCTTCTTTAAGAGGTCCATTAGAGGCACCACCATCTTACAATATTTCTACATATTTCTACACAAACATTGTACTAATTAGGGAGGTTGATGAATGACCTTAGCTCTTGCAATCAGTTATACATCGACTAATTATTTACAAAATTGATCTTTGTATGATCTACCTATACGCCACCCTTTTTAACGATATGGCTTAAGAATACAACATTCTCAAGCATGAAGTCACATTTAAATAGACTCAAGTACAATTGAGTGTCTTGTAGTTTTATGAAAACCTCCCACATATGTTCCATATACTCTAGGCTTTGACTATAAGCTACAATGCCATCTATAAATATTATCAATCAATACATCTTTAGAATATAAGATTCATCACAACATAAAATATTGTTGGTGTGCTAGTGAGCCTAAAGAACATCATTATAAACTTATATGATCTATACAAAGTTAAGCACTTGTCACCTTTCCAAATGTGAGTTTGATGATATCCACTCTTTAAATTCATTTGAAAAAACATTATGTGCTCCCCCCAAACAATTTAATAACTACTTTGCATTAGAGATTGGTATTAATACTTATAATTACCTTATTGAGTGCCCAATAGTTAACACAACCAAAGTAATATGTACTTTAGATATTGGATGAGCCCTCTTGATGGAGCTCATACAACTATATCTATAATCTTTCTAGATATGTAGGTGACATTATGAATGAGGCATATGTGATCATATAATGTTTTTACGTAAACAATAAGATAAGGGTTCACTTTTTTACTATGATTTTATGAAGAAATAACATACAAATAACTCATTTTGTCTATTTTTCAATTTATTTTCAATTTTTCATAATTATAGTTCTATTTATAATCCTTTATGATATTTAATTAGTTATTTTTCTATCTTTAGGATAAAAAAATATTTGATTCATAGGATAGAGGTCGTTTGGTCTTTATGTAATCATGGGCCTACCCTCTATACAATCACCATTTTTCTATATACTCCCTTTCTCCTTTTTCTCTGAGGGCTCTCTCCCTTCTCTCTTTTGAACTCTCTCTCTCTCTGTATTTTCATTTCTTGAAGCCAATTTCTCTCTTATCTATCAAATCCTACTTATTCTTTAATGTTTTAGATCTTTAATTTTTTATTTTTTAGTAATTTTTAATGACTTCCAACTCTTTTTTCACTCCCTTCTCAAGTGACAAACATGATGAGTTCTTCATTTTTTTTCTTAGATTTTCAATTCTCCCTTCCCCCTTCCTCTCTTTTTATTTTTTTATTTTTCTATGTTCATAACTATCAAATATCACCTTTTATATTTCAGAATTGAATAATTATAATCTTTATTTTTTCATTGTATTAGATGCATTGTATCTTGGTTCAAGATAACTGAAACGAGCTAAGTCAAAGCTGGCCCAACTATTTGAGTCATCTATATATTTGCACATGTTATCCTTTAATGAATCATCCCCCACCCTTCCCCCACCCTCATTCTCTCTCATTAGCCCTTGAGGGCAATGACTCTCTAGTGATGGCAAGCACACTAATGATTGGAAAGGTTTGGCATGGTATCAAAGCCAAACCAAGTGCATTTGTTTCCAAGCTCTTCTGATTTCTAGGGTGCTCCTCTAGCCATACAACTCCCAATTTTTTGTTGAATGTTTGTAAATGAGATTTTGTGGCCTAGATTTATGATATATCTATTTGCCTTTCCTCTTGTCCCTAAAGGAGAGAGAAATGTTAGAGATGCTTTGGGTAGAGACAATCCTCATGTTATGTTAGATCTTTATTTATCCATCTATTTAGCCTTATTTCTCTACATTGAAAGTAAGAGCACAACATTTGTTATTTGAGGAAAGGATAAATTTATGTCAAAAGTAGTCAATAAGATATCATCTTCATCATACTCATCAAAGCATTCTAAATTATATTTTGAGGCTAAAAATATTCTAAATGAATTCAAGTAGATGTAATAAATCTTCTTCAATTGAGTGAATTTATTGAAGTTATTTTGACAAGAAGAAAATTGAATCATTTTTCATAATTGGTATCCAAATCAAAATATATATATTCTAAATTATAAAAAGAAGGTGATGTAATTATAGAAATATGTCATTGAAGTGCTATGACACGAAGTGGATGCAAAATATTTATTTATCACATACAATTGATAAATATTAACTAATTACTACCACCACTCTAGATGATGAAATTTTTTTAGTTGGTCTCAATGTTGAGTGTGATTAAATATAATCCCAAATATTAGGAAGAAAAAGAATACCAAATCTTGAGGAGGTAATTATGACATTGGATTTAAGAGAGTATGATGTCTTATGGTAGAATCACAAAATACTATCAATTTGTGGGGTAACATAAGGGAGGGAAAGGGCCACTCATCAACATGACCAAAAAAGAAAAAGAAATGACTACATGGAGACTCTATGATGTAATTTTTTAAATAGATAAAACATACTTGTGACCAATGCTACAAGTTCTATGGGTTGCCTCAAATAAGTGGACATACTTAATGACTTCATAGCCACTATAGGCAGTCACAACTTTGGAAGTAAGCACAAAAGGAGAGACACTAA